GGTCTTATTTTCGGGGAAACACGGTAGTAGCCATTGATGGTCTTATCCACCATAAATTTAGCAAAACCAGTTTTAAAGCCATCCAGATTAGTGGCCATCACAAGCTCCTGTAGTGGCTTATGCAATCACAGATATTACAGTGTCAAAAGACTTGTAGAGAATCTAGTACTGGATAACTCGCAAGGCATATCACATGTAAAGAACAAGAACTGAACTCATCGATCGAGACATGACTGTTCAAGAGGGAAATATAACTAAACGTTGAAAGAAAAGGCTAGCCATGTTACATAACGATGACAATCGCTATGGAGAAAGGCAAGTGCTAATTTTAAGGGCATGAGGTATTATTTTTCTCCATTTCTTCCTGCTATATGAGTCAGTCGGGTGTGGTGGTGAGGGCTGGACCGTGGAGATCCAGCTTCTTGTTCTTACTCAGCTGTGAAATTCACTACGTGACTTCGGACCAGATGCATAGCCTAACTCAGCCTAACTTCGCTCATAGGGCTGTTGTGACACTAAATGGAGAGGAGACCCTCACAAGCCACCGTGGGTTCCTAGCAAGAGGAAGAGAGGTGGGGTATGAATGTAATACAGCAGTATTTTTCTTTCCAAATAGTTATCAGTAGAAAAAGAACCTTCTCTTCCTACAGTCCAAACCAATATTTAGGCTCAGTTTTCAGAAGATCCATGCAATATGGAGAGAATGTTCTGAATAAAGAATTCTAATTACCTGGCAAGTCATGTGGGGAAACTCATATGGGCTTTTACATTTCTGAAATTTGCATTTTGATTTCAGACATTTGAGATGCTGTTGCCATTTTGGAATTCAGGGAGAACCACCATTACAGAGCTCATGGAAAGTGGCTGATAACTCTTCGAATTCTACCTTGTCTTTTGATGGGGTTTTTTGACCTATGAAACAATCAATGTTCCATGAAGCATTTTCTAGCTAACTCTTGATAATGAGGGAGATGGTGGGTGTTTTAGAGGTTCTAATTAACCATGAGAATGTGAGAAAACACAAGCTCATGGGGTTAGGTAAGGGTGGTAGAGAAATCTGTATGTATGTTACATGCAAATACATATGTTGCTAACAAAAATTGTTGCTAAGCATTTGCAGGTACCTTTAACATTTTTGTACGAGACAGAATTACAATAGGCACAGATGCTCTCAGCGTGAGACCTGCAGTGATACAAAATCACAGTAGAATTTGTACATCTTGGGGACCTATTGATGAACAAGCACTCTGCTTGAAAAATAAATGAAAACATCTCAAGAATGGTTTTGAGTTGGATCCATTAGTGTCTCCTTATTTTGTCTGCTACAGCATTAAATACTGCAACAATTAATCTCAGACTTTCCTGTCTGTTCCTCATTATCAGAATATTTTAATTCTATCATCCCTCTTTATTGCTGGGGACTTGGACCAAAAGAAGTTAATGAGAGAATCTGTTAAAATATAACTTTACTGTATGAAAACCATGGATCTCCTGCTTTTCAGAGGTAAAACAAAACAGCTTCTTCAGGATTTTCTGTACCAGAAAAGGCAGCGGACTTGGAGAAAGACAGATCTGACCCATGGGACACGATTTGCCTGGAACGTAATTTAAAAACATCTTTAAACAAACAGGTGTTCAATACCAAAGATGTGTAAGAACTATGAGGGATGTTGACAAGCACCAATACGTTTTGGGTAAACTCTGGTGTACAAAACAAGCTCTCTCTGTAGGATGTTTTTAATAGCAGGATTGGATCAGGGTAAGGGGAGAATGCCTATAATTAATCTGGGGCTTGGCCAGTTTCACATGAAAAGTATCAAGTAAAACAGGCCTCAGTTATACATTACTGGGACATCCATCCAGTGGAACTTCAAGTTTATCTATTTTGTACAAGTCACCTTGGCTTTCATCATGAGCTGAACATTCCAGCTACAGTTGCGACGGGCCTTTTGGGATGTGGCTCCTCTGACTTCCCTTGTGTTTGGCCTTGGCTTAGGAAGTCTCCTGAGCTCCAGGAATGCTTGCAGAACTCTGGTTGAGCAACTGGCAACCTTCTTGCAGGACAAAGGCCGCAAGTCACGGGAATGGAAGAAGGACACAGCTTCTGCAACATGAGTGTGGGACATGATTCTTGGCGGGTGCCCATGTGAATGCTTGGCATACTTGGCACCCAGTTGGACTCATGGCTGTGAGAAAGCAGGCTGGAGTCCAGGGACTCTAGCTGAGGGGACCTGTTGAATTCCCAAAGCAGATACCTCACACATCCCTAGTTTCAGCCAGTATTTAAAGAACTGGTGATAACAAAAGCTTAGGTATCACATGCTGTGTCTGTTCATTTAAGATTAGCTGTAACACGTCACCACTACTGTCAGAATGAATGGTGAGTGATCATTATTTCAGATGCACTTTAATAATACCGTAGCTTGTGCTGATTACCTGGATCTTAGTGACTAAACTGGTCCTTCTGGTTCTACATGGTTGGTGTCTATTAGCACTTGTAGTTCTGGAACACTTGCTAAATTAATAATCAAGATATTCTGAGCTTCATTTGCAGCATTTGCTTGCTCACGCTCATGCTCGCATGCACACTCAGGTTATACAAAGGTAACTCATGCATAAAAAGAGGCAACTAGTACATAAAAAGATACCGTTCTCCATTCCCTTTGCTTTGAAACCTTGATCTATTACTTGCAGGCAATGGAACATTTAAGAATAAACCAAGCTCAAAGTTAAAAATGTAGACTAAGGGAAGAGTAATACTGACCATGAAATGTTCTAAGGTAGCCCTTCCTGATCTTCCGTAGCATGGTTACTCTGAATAAAGTCCCAATGCAACAAAGAAAAGGTCCCTAGCACTGCTGAATGTCCACTGAAATCAGTTGTAGAAGTACGACAAACCTAGCTGCTTAGTACAACATTACTACAAAGTTCTACTAGTTCTGTTCTAATCGGAAACTATTAACCAATCCCATGCTATGAACAGATGTGCTAGTGAGATATCCTAGAGTTATTTTCATACGGGCTCTCAAAGGATTTTTTTTTCTTGAACAAGAATACGTAAACAACTTAACAGCTCAATGACCACAACTGGGATAGGTGAAGAACTCAAAGAAAAATGGATTCAAGGAGTGGGCAAAGAAAAAGATGAGGCCAGAAGTAATTATGTGGAGTCTGGGGTGACTCTCTGGATGTTCACAAATTTATCATGCAAATGTTGTTTCCATGTAATTTCAAGTTTTTCGGCATTTTCATTAAACACCTCTCCCCACCTTGTCCAAGTAAGTGTCCAACTTTATCTTGCCTTTTACCTTCTTTCTGAGTATGAAGGGAGACAGACATCTCTTCAATCTGACATTAAAGCAAGTCTTGAGAAATAGAAGTAATTAACCTTCTGCATCTCTAACCATATGGGTGACATTTCTACTTAGAACCAGGTCATATGAATTAATACGTGAATCTCAGAAGCATTTTTCCAAGAGATGCCCTTTTTCACACGTCCTTTTTGTAAAATAAGTTTACTTTCCTAAAGTGAAGGGTACTGCTTAGCTTTGCTTTGTCCCCTCCCTCTTCAGTGTTGCTTCCCAGATGTTGGAGAAGCCCCCTCTCCTCATGTTCAAACTAGGAATCATAGAATGCTATATTTTAATTTGAGGAACAGCTGATGCAGCAAGTACTACCTCAGCATCCGAAAATAATTCTCCCAAGTTAATAAATACTGACTGTCTGCCGGGCAAAGTCTGAAACCTGTGAACTGCTTGGGGACAAAAGCAATAGCTATTCAAGGGACAGGCTCAGGTTCTAAAATACTGACACTCTGGTCCACTTGTTTAGTAGCAGCTTTCTGTGGCAACATAATCTGCTTGTGACCTTATTTTTTTGTTTACAGATACGACACTTACAGCAGATGTTAAACAGCAACTAAGCATGAGTAGATGATGCCTTGTAGCCTGAGGTGCAAACAAAATCTTGCCTACACTTTGAACTTGTTTTAGTGTTTGATGTGCCACATAAATGCATAAATAATCTGTCTTATTGCCAAGTTGTCCATTTGGTGGATCACTTTGCCCACAAACCAGCATGGAATAAAAGCACACTCTGGAATGGCTTGCAACTCCTCCAATTCATGCTTTTTTCCTCCGGAATGCAGCCTCTGAAATGCATCTGGGTGTTACAGTACTAAGGTATTATGGATATGCAGGTTCTAAAACAGGTGTGCACTCCTTGTTATCTGCTGTGCTGAATACAGCACATCAGGTGTGTGCTTTTGGTCAGGAGCTTAATTACTCTCCTTCCATTTCTGCAGTCTTGGGCAGACTAAGCCTCAGTGCATCACCCTGTGTGACTGGAAAGTTGCATTAGTTGGTGGCAAGTTATGTTGTAGAGGCTGGTCATTAGACATGGTCATGAAAAATATGAAAGCAGAAAGGGAGCGATGCATCAGTAGGCCTAGTCCTTCAGTGGTTAACTGTGCTGCAAAAGGAAGGGGGATGGGGGTGACTAGAGCGCTGTACTGAAGTTATTCCTCGTTTTCCTTGCCTTACGATTCATGACCTGGAACAAGCCTCCTTAGCAGCTAACAGGTCTAGCACATATGGTTCCTCTGATGGAAACTGTGCATGGCAGGAAGACTCGAATCTTATCAACAGAAATTTGTGTAGGGTAACTTTAACTAGTGACCCTTCAATAAGCTACTTTGGTTCTTACTAGGTAAATTTGCTAGTATCCACATATTAAGCTTAGCTCTGAGAGAAAAAGATGGTCTTCAAGGTTCTCAGATCCTGTATTCTAATACCATTCACGTTTTCAAAAAGTAAATAAGACACTTCAGAGTTACAAAACAGCTGCCCGTTAGTCCATCTAGAAGTTTCCAAATTTATTTAGGAAAAAAAATAACATGAGCAAAATGAGAGTACTTTCAGTGTTACAAGAAAGTATATAAATGTCTAGCAATAGTCAATCTGATTTTTTTAAATACAAAATAACCACATGAACACCTAATATACAGGTTTCATTTGAATACATATTTATTAGATAAATATTAGGTTGTCACATCATCTAACTACATACAGTTTTGCAAGACTAAAAATCACAATTATTTTTTCTGACCAGTTTTAAAGTATGAAATGATTGCATTGTACTGTACATACAATGTACAAACAAAGACAATGGCCATTTTTGCATGTTAATTCAGATTGTACTTTTTTAAATTCTCCTCTGATCACAATATCAAAAAATTGTACAAAGTATGAATTTGGTTACAATCTTTTATTATTTAATCCCCTTATTTTCTTCATTATTTTTGTAGCACCCTAAAAATACACAGGTGATAAGACTAGTACACTTAAGCTAATTATTACAAGAAGGTAAAACAAAAAAGCAACAAAAAATCTTTTCACAAAGGATCCAGAGTATCTTACAAGAAGTGAAACAAATGTGGAGACTTCACAAACGCTAACAAACAGGATTCATTTTCCACATAAGATGGATCTTCAAGCTTTAATTTTTCCTGCAAAATAAAAACAATGCACATTCCAAGGAAAATGAATGCATTTCTGTTAACATGTCTCTATTTCCCATTTACATATGTACAGATGTCCCTGGAGTCTCCACTGCAGACATTGGTGTGTTTTCATCATCATATAGTAATAATGATGTCTTGGCAGTAGAACTATAAATCTCAGTGAGTTTTTCTTCTAGGTGGGTGTCTATAGGGAAACAATTAAACTAACTCAAACCAAATGCCCCTGACACAGGAAGTAAAAATATGCTGTGGGGATATCAGCTTGCCTTCTAAAACAAAGTATTTCATTAAGGCTGCAATCCTATACTCTTACCTGGGTGTAAGTCTCATTGAACTTAATGGAGCTTACTTTAGAGTAGACTTGCATAGGATCACACTGCACATTGTTTAGTAGGTTTTCTCCACATTCTAATGTGATGACAGTGAGCAGATTAAAATTAACTTTTCATTTGCTCTACCCTAAAACAGTCCCGATAGTAATATGCTGATGAGTAATCTGTGTGTGTGTTTGGAGGTGTAGATCAGGCATTCTGGGCTGACTTCACAAAGGATGCCCTATGGATAAATATGCCCTTTGATAAAATATAAAGGAAGTACATGTTGGGATCTTAGCAGCTACTTTCCCTTGTGCACAAACCCAGCTCAGATAGCCCTTGTGTTCAGTCAACTTGCGTTCCCTTTCTGCAGACCTGATCAGTCCACATAGATCTAGAGCAGTCCAAAATGCATATTTCTTTTCCTAGTGGAAATACATCTTCAAATAATGGAAAGCCTTAAAACAATCTATGTTCATTAGGTTTCGGGGGATTCTCTCCTCCAACAAGTACTTTTTTCTATGATGCATTTAGATTGCCATTAGCCAAACAATTAAAAATTAAAAAGTCCTGAATGCATCTACTTTTAAATGGTTCTGTTTCCAGTTAAACAGAAGAAAAATCCCTTCAAGTAATTCGTGTAGCGAGAGGCGTACACAACCGCAGAGGAGCAATCTTAGAAAATCAGTGAGAATCTGAACAGATGAAAGACAATTTATGGCTTAAAAGGCCTACACAAGAGAGATACCAGTCAACCAGTCACCTGCTGAACCTGCTAGATGACGGGGGACCAGGTGGGCTCCTGCAGGTAGCTCGGACAGGTGTGACGTGCCTGGTTTAATGGTTACAGGACTGTGTCTACATAGCTTTAAAAAGAGCAATAAAAAGTCAGCTGCCCATACAAATCGTTTCCATAGACACGAAAATGCTGCAGCAAAATACAGGGGGAAACGAGTGTAGAAAAAACAAGCGGTACTGCATTTCTAAGGGAAGGCGCTGCTAAGCATCCGTGTGCCAGCGGTACCCCATCCCGGTTGAAGAACCATTTGACGACCCAGGAGTCCGATGGCAGAGAGTCTTTGCCGTGCATATAAGATAATAAAATATATCTTGTACTACTTTCCCCTCTCCTGTGCATAGGACAGTGTCATTTTCTAAGAGAGATAAGGAAGAGCTTCGAAAATAGCTTCTCGAGTTATTTATGCTAAGATAGTTAAGCTCTTTACTATTTCTTTGCGTGACAGTTCAGGACACCAGCCAGTTGTATTATATTTGTCTGTGAAACTGATAGGGGCTAATTTATCAAAGGGAAAAGTAAATGCTCCTGTAGTCCAAGACCCCTTTACCAAAACAAAACACACGCACACAAAAAATACCCACTTTTTCCTGGACTAGTTAAAAACAAACGTATAATCAGATCATGAAAATGTTGAATATTATAATCAAAGATGATACTAACATATTCACAAAAGGTATTTACAATAGCAATTCTTAAAATAACTGATTTTGCATAATGAACAGCACTTCTTTTGAGGAAAAAAATAGAGAAAACCTCAATGAAAGGGTGGTGGGGAGAAAGTAAATGGAAGATCATTTCTACATAAAATGTTTTACAAATTCAACACATCTACTGGAAAATAATAGAGGAACTAAAACTGCCATTTCCTGTAATATCTACAGCAAGGTGCTGTGGACTAGCATATATTTATATTTATATATATAAAACAAGATGCATATACAGCAGTGGGGTTGATGCAAAGAACAAATGCTCAGGATTTACAAGCGTGACTTTGGTGACGAGAGCAAGTTCGGAATGGAATGCACACATCATGCCATTCACAGAGGGCAGGTGGGTGGCGCTTACACACTGACACCAACAAGCAAGAGTTCATCTGGCACAAAGTCGAAAGCCTACTGTGGAAATGGAATATGGGGGCACTGGATTTGATTCTGGGAAGGGAAGGAAGCAATCACCGTTTCTTTATTCACAAAAATGCAAGATCTGTCCATAGAAGGCAGATGATGAAATGTTGGCCCGGAAGGGCCGAGTTGGCACACATGGACGTCTTAACATACAGATACTATACATAATTTATAAAGAGAGCACGAAAATGGGCCCACAAGCACCTGGAAGCTCATGCAGGAGGGAAGCAACCACATGAGAAGCGGAGAGACCATGGAAGCCGAGCGACGTGCGGGCCTGCAGTACTATTGTACCAAACGGGCTTCTTCCCAGGCCCATTATCCTTGGAAATACCTTTCTGACGGGAGGGGGAAGGTCCTGGCAGCGACATGATTCAACGAACGTGAAAAAGGAAATAAAACGGCTGAACGGCTTAAGACAAGCTGGAAAACGCATACCAAACGATGAGGGGGTGCAAGGTGCCTCTCCCATTGCAAAAGCCTTTTGAATCAGTTACATGAAACAACACGAACCGCCTTCACCTCCTTTTTCGTAACTTTGCCACCATTCCCTGCTAGGAACTGAGTGACGGTCTAATTGCGCTGGTTAGAAAATGGAAAGCTCTCAGTGACAGCATTTTGCTTTTTTGCTTTCCCCCCTTCGTATACCAATATGGTTCTTCATACCCCTCCCCCTTTTAAAAAATAGTTGGCTTCTATATTATCACAAAAGGTGGCCATTTGAACCAAATCCCTCGAGGGAAAAAAGCTGAAAAAGGGAGACGGGAGAAAACAAATATCCAAGTCTCCTTGTTAAACCAAATGAGTTACTCTGCCCACAAGGTTACTCAAAGAAGGATTGCTAGAGTTTAGAAAAACACGCTTGCCACAGCCTGGAGATTCGCAGGACTCTTCCTCCATGGAGTAAGTACTGCCCAAACAACAGACTCCTCCCTTTGATGCATTTTGTATTTTTATCCTACTTGTGACAACTTTATTGATTTTTTTGTGCTTTTTGGTATGTGTTTTATGGTTTCGAGTTTGTTTGGCTAGTCTGAAAGTGCTGCCAAATGTCCTTATTCTGTCTGACAGGAATGTACAGACCAGAGCTTGCACAACTTGGGAAGGAACACAGTGGAACAGGTGCTACGGCAAAAGGGGGAAACCCATGGAAGATCATGAGTTGGAAGGACATTCTGAAACTGGTCAATTAGAACCGTTCTGTTGCCTTTTCTTCCTTCCTTTGCTGAAACTGGTTTCCGGTGGGATATTTGTCACTACATCTATCCCAAAACCCATTCTCCATCTCTCTGCAGAATTAACAAGTGAGGTTTTCCACAGTTGCACAAACCATTTGTGATGTCGAGTGGCAGTCTAGGAGGTCCCCCACTGCATTGTCCTCTTGCTTTGCCCCACCACAATGGAGCTCCACTCAAGCAGTTTTGAGATGAAGAAAACAGGGACTGTGCACCAGTTGCTCAAGCTGTGAGTTTGTCCTCGTGGGAAAGGGTGGTTTGGGATTCCTCACTGTGAAGCTACAGATGTGTCAAACAAGTGAGAGGTGTTGGAGGCAAAATACAGAAGGCTTCAGTTGTTCTCAAAAAGAGAGAGAAGGTCGTCATTGCTATTGCTTGGTAAATCGGGGGGATCTAGGTATGAAAGTAGCTCATCTGGATTCGTGAGTTCTGGAAGCAGCTGGAAAATAAAGATGGGAAATGTGAAGACAGTGAAATCATAGCGGTAAAGCAGATGGCACTTCGAGGGTGTACAGTCCTTTGTTTATTGGAGGGTACAGTGTTGCGAGTTCTTTTCAGGGTTACAGAAACGGCTGCTTGATGCATTCTAGCCAGTGCAATTAGAGGTAGCTATTTGATGGCCAGCTAGGAGAACCATCAGGTCACTAAGGCACCAGGTGAAGAAATGGAACAAGCGATCAGTTCTGCACGAAAAACTGCCGCTAGGAAGTGGTTTTCTGAGCAGCCTTCCCCTGCCAATATATGTAAAAAATACCTACACGTAAAAAGGTATCACGCTGGAGAAAGGGCTAGCTCATACTTAGATCTTTCTCCCTGGCATTCTAGTTTTGCATGTGCAAAAATAACTTTTTTTTAAATGTAGAAAAGCATTCACTTCCATCCCTGCAGCCTGAACAGTACAGCTCAGTTTGTAAATTCTCCACGTAAGGCTTTTTCCTCATCTGTTTCATCATCTCTGGGACACACTAATATTATGCTTTCTAGATTATCCTGTGCCAAAAAGTCACTCACTTGATTTGCTACAATGGCAGTCAAAGGTGTGGCCGAGAGTGAACACAGCAGGCTTGTTATGGGCTCAGTGCCATCACACTCATCCTCGTAAAGCACATGAAATTACGCAACCAGACAAAGTGTTGCACATACCACAAATGCTTTTATGGGACAGCAACTTAATAAGGGTAGCATGTATTATGTATGCTTATTTTATGTAAGCTGTCCTGAGGCTTTAAGCGATGGGACAGGATACAAAAATTCTAAATAAATAAAAAAAATGTATTTGATCTTCTATACAGATTTCCTTAATGTTGCTTATGAGGTTCTGCAGGTTATTTTCAGCTATCTTTAGGGCTACGTTTACATAGCATACTTCCCTTCAAGAAAGCATAAAACTGTTGATCCAGAGTAAATGGTAATCATTTTGGCAGACTGCTGCCTGTTGAATGGAGTGTTGATGCTTTACCTTTGCCTAAAATTGATCAAGAATGTATTGTGAACACTGGGGGTGCTATTTTTTTAAAGGTTAGATTCAAGAACGAGTCAGTATAATTATTAAAATTGCATCAGCACTGCTGTATCTGATTTAGCTATATTAACTTTCTTCATCTGTATACTGCCCTCCAATCTTCCCGTGTTATATAAACACATGTAAAGTTAGATATTGGTTGAACAAAAACTAGTGCAGCTTTAGTTTGCCAGGGATTCAGAAAAGCTTGAAATGGGCTGCCAGGAAATGGTCATCACGGTGAACACGAATCGTCTCATTTGTTTTCAGGGCAACGGAATGGCCAATAACCCTCCCTCGACAGGAAAGGTGTGGATTGTGACAGTGATGTGCCCATGTTGGGTGTGTGATCATAATTAAGCTTTCCCATGGATTAGATTTCTCCTCCCCCACATTAGAGGTTTTTCTACCAAGCCTCCTGCATGGTTTTTCTCAGCTTGCCTCCCCCCTGCCTCCCCACCCCGGTTTCTTGTTTTCGTAAAACAGTCTGGTCTTTGCCCACATATGCATTTTGCCCATCCCACTACCGCTAATCATCACAGGAACGGCTTTCTTGTGGACTAAATTGTATCATGTCAAGGAAGCAATTCCATGATTCCTGGCACTAGTTCCTGGACTGCAGCAGTCACGTGGCCAGCACTCCCCAGTGCTAAAACATGAACCAACACGGAAGACGGAACCATGCAAGTTTTCTGATTCAGCACGGAAGTATATTTAGAAACAGAATTTGCCACTGTGTCTGTTTTCAGTGCAGAACATTGCCCACAGAATGTATAACCGTATGCTCTGTGCCTGTTCCTAAGGACCCTTTGACATTTAGATGTCCAATCTTTCAAAAACTGGTTGGCCCATAAAAAAGATATTTAGAGGGCGATCCTATGGATGGCACCCTTGCTGCTTGAGAGCCCCAAGCTCTGGGGCTTCCAAGCTTGCTGTGCCCATTCAGACTTTCTCTGGTGAGCTCGGCTGGGGCAGAGACAATCCTAAGTCCATGGGGATTCCCACTGGACAGATGTTTTAGCCTGTCTAGCAAGGGCATGTTGAAGTGCGAAGGAAAGAGAAGGTGGATGACGTGGACCTCCTCATACGCTGGGACACTCCTTCTTCCTCCTGGGAAGTTGTTTTTCCAGACTTGGAGAGGCCATCTATGTAGCTCTCTCCATACTGGCTGTGAGGGGGAGGGCAGCATCTGGTGTCAGACCACTGACACCCCCTTTGGAATTCCTGTCCCTGACTCCAGAGCCAGCCTATGGGCCCTGGGATGCTCCCCAAGGGGGAGCATATGATTCCATTCTGTTTGAGAATCGAGACAAACAACATCACATCTAAATAAATAGTTTCTGGTCCCTTTCTCTCCCTTCCCCATCCCTAGCTGCCACCTTTCTCTCCTCCCTCGTCCTCAGCCTTTCCCTTTCTCTCCCACTCAACTACTGATCTTCCCGTTTCTCCTTTCTCCCAGCCTCCAGCTTCTTTGTGTCCCCCCATCTGTTTTCCTTTCTGCTCGCTGGAAAGCTGATCAGTGGCAGGTTCAGAAACAGGAAGGAGAGGCCAGTGCCTTAATTTTTTCCCCTTTGGGTTAAAAATGTGAAGAGTGCCAAGGTACTGTTGGAGATGCCCACTGGTGCCCACTGCTGTAGGAGGCCAGAACTCTGACCCTGTTAGGTACTGGCCCTGCACTGTATTGTCAGAGATGGAATAAGGAGGGTGAGGAGAGGCGACTGGTACGTTCATATATGTCAGAATTCAGCATTGCTGTTGAACCCTGCCCCTATCTCAGGCCAAGGCATCTGTCTGTGGAATTAGCATCTATAATATTCTGAAGCCCTTTAAAATAATGCAAGGTCCTCAAACAAGCCGTCTTATGTTACTCTTGCCATCACTGCTCCCTCTGCGAGCTCAACCTTGGACGACTGTTTCTCTGGAGCACGTGGCTCCTGGTGCACATGGGCCGAACGCCCTTGCACGAGAGGCCCCTTCCTTGTGGGGAAAGCTGGTCTTCCGGCAGCCCGCTCCTCACCCACCCCCACCATCCTGGACAAGAGAACCCCCTGCGTGACATGGAGCAGCAGCTTAAAATGGACAGCCATTTTTCTCAGCAAGGCTGGAGTTGGCCTCATTAGTGGTCGTGATCAAATGCAGAAAATGAGGGCGCGTGCCTGGACAGCCGCCCCACACCACTTTTCCCCTCCTTCGGAACTGCCAGGTACGTTCTAGAGCAAGCAGATGACAGAATGACGCAGACTTACATCCAGCGAAGGCTCCGGCATGTCAGATGTCCCCTGCCCACCAGCCTGCCCTTCTAAGGCTGAGGAGGGGTTAAAGGCCAGGTCATTGTGTGGATGGTTGCTAGAAGCGGCCTGTGGTGGCTGGCGGGACTGCTGGGACGGAGGACCGCTGTGATGTAATGGCTGCCCTGACTGGCTGCTGGGATGAGGGACGTGCAAACCTTGCTGCATGGAGCTATGGGGCTGATCGGTGTTGCCGGGATGAGAGATCTGCGGAGGAGGAGAGAAGCAGGAAAGCAGAGTGAGGCGAGGAGGCACCAAGCTGCCGATGGCATGAGCGGGGCGGAGCGGCACGGGAAGCTGCCCCCACGGGCCACGGAGCAGGGGAGGCATGTGCTGCAAAACTATCCACGTGGGGCGGCCTTCTGCCCTCCGGGAAAAGATGGCCCCGGAGGCAACCGAGTAAGCGATTCTCGGGAGTTGGAAAAGTGTTTTTAGAAGGCTCGGCTCCTGCCGGTTCCTGCCCTGAAACGCCTATGGCACCTGAAAAAATGGAAATATTTAGTGACTTGTATAACATACATCGTGATAACCGGAGAAAGGAGCTCTGCACCCTTCGGGGAAGGAGAAATCAGTTCTGTTGCGGTTCTGATTTAGTTACATTTTCTGTGAAAATAAGGCGTCGCTATGAGAGAAGCAGCTTTCATCATCGGGGGCCAAGGAGAAAAATCACCCGAAGCTTGACATTCCTTTTTTTTCTTGCTTAAAAAAAATCCAGCCAACCTGTGTACTTGCGTATGTGCACACACTTCTAAAATATAACTTGCTTTTGTTTCTTGGTGAACCACAATCCTTTTGGTAGAAACCTTTCTTTAGTGACAGACCATTGCAATGAAGAATATTAAATCTATGAATATTTCTTTAAAAAGAGCATCCCTTGAATTCCGTTGCTACGCAGGAGCAAACATCACACAAGAGCAGAAAACATAACACAAATCAACATGAAGTGTGCCAAAATCTGAAAGCACAGTAGTCCTATGAACACATGCAGATGAAGTGGAATCCCAAGCATGTTTAGGCAGGAAAAAAATGCTCTACAGCTTCCAGGAGAATTGATTTTTTCCTGTCTAAAGGAATCTAAGGATTGCCCCCTTAAATACTTTTGAACTATTTCTATTTAGTTGTAATAGAAAACATTTAAATTAATCAAAACATTCAAGTGATTTTTATACTTTAAGTAACTGATCACTGCAGTTTGCTTTTTCATCCATTATGAATTACCTTAGATGTGTCAACTGAGGCCAAGCTTCTCATTCCTTCTAGAAACAAGCTATATGGTAACTGTTTTCTCAACTGTCTTTCATAGTTATTTATTCATATAAGGGTCCCCCTCCTGTAGGAAGGGGCATGTCAAACCCCCATTTCAATTACAGTTAAGAAAACCAGACTTGATTGGAAGGCAGTTATGTTTTTATTAAGCTATGCTATAGAGCAGAGATGCACAGTAACGCTTTTAAAGTTCTGAGCAATGTTCTTATAATTACGAGAAAAATAAAAGACTAGATGACCCAGGAGGCATCTTTAGAGAAGCTGAATTCCTCCTCTGCTTCTGTGATCTCTGCATGTACCCTAGATTGCAAAAAGATTTTCCGGTCAAAAGACCACTCTTTTCGAAGAACTGGAGGATAACAGTCTCAAGGGCATGGCTTGGCCCAGGAAGCATTACTGTTCATCTGTACTCTACCTCTCCAGCTGGGAATAAATAAATATCTGGCTCCCCACACACCACTCACGGCTGCCACTTGTCTTCATCAGGTCGTCCAAATCTCGTTGGTCAGCTTGAGAAATGCTGTTTCTGTCTCCTTTCTGTGTTTCACCCATTCTGACCACCCATCTTACTTGCCCCTCCTTTTATTCAGTCAGGACAGCCTTTGTCTTCCCCACAACCTCATCTGTTTGTTTACCAAATATCTCCCATCATCTGAGTTGTTCTTCTTGGTTCCCTTCCCTCTGGGTTTACTTCCTCTCCTGTTACAAAATCTTTCCTTTTGCTCTGCAGTATCTCCACAAAACAGTGTCTTATCTGGTTGCTTTTGAGGGTGGTTTAAATGAAGAAAGAGTCTAGAGAATTCAGTGCTACTCTGTCTTTTAAGGATTCAACCTGTTACAAGTCACATTTTCTCCTCTCTACTTTTCAAGAGATTTTAAAAGAGCACAGCACAGAAAAAATACTTTTATTTCCCTATACCTCTAGTTCTAGCATTAAACTGGGCTGCACTGCACCCTGGTTGTCAACCAATCTTTACAAAGGGAAGGGGAAAGATTAAAGGGGTCAAGTCCTCAAAACAAATTACAGTGGTACCTTGGCTCATGAACTTAATCCATTCCAGGACTCTGGTTGTGACCCATAATGGTCGTGAGCCAAGTTAAATTTCCCCATAAGGTTCAATGTAAATGAAGTTAATCCGTTCTGCAACTTTTTTTTTAATCAGAAAAATGTGAAGCAAAGTGACAAAGAACAACAAAGATGACAGCCATCTCCCCGCCTCCCCCAGCACAACCACGATCACGCCCATCATCCCTGCATGTGCCTGTCATCCTGGGGGGGATGATGGCGCGATTGCGGAGGGGAGGGGAGGGGGAGATGGGTGCGAATGGGGTGCGCTGCGGGGGAGATGGCCAAGATCATGGTTGAGCTCCTGCAGGAAAGATGGGCGTGGGCTCGGCCATCTCCCCCCCACCCCCGGCATGATCGCAGCCATCTCCCCTCTGGGGGTGGGGGAGATGGCTGCGATCATGATCGCCACGCAATGCGGAGTTCGCGACCTGAATTAATTTTTTAATGAAATGTTTGTTCGTGACCCGATTTGGTCGTGCACCAAAGCGTTCGTGAGCTGAGGTACCACTGTACCCGCTCATGCAAGTACTCTCTCCTTCCTGTCACTGTATCCAAAACTGTAAATGGGGGAGAGAAAAGATGGGGGCATGAGCCAGGAAAAAATCTCCATATTCCCTTCTGATGCCCTCTTTCCCTGTTCGATCTCAGTCTTTGGGTTGGGTGTGCGCAGGTGGGGTTCATGAGAAAAGAGCCATTCTGTGAGTGGCGCTCTCCTTCCATCTTTGTCCTCTTTTGCTCAGATATAAAGAGGCACTTCTCTTTCCGTGCCACACTTACGGAAATCAAAAAAGGGAAGCCATTGGCCAAAGGACACGTTCCCTGATTGTCCCCATCTCCATGGACACGGGAGAGAATGTAATTTGCAGTGGTTCACTTTTCCTCTTGACAAAAGTGCACCCTGCCAGTATGACTAGGAGAAGGGGTTTCTCCCCAGGTCCGATAAAAGGATTGGAGCAGATGAACTGCAGTGCCGTGGAAGCAGGGAGGCTACTTCAGACAAGATGCTCTTCTTACAAGGGTTTCACTCTAACGGGACCGGGATGGTAATATATAAAAATGCAGGCTCACTTGCGAAGACCCCACACATGGGTCCACAAGCCGTACTCAGTGACCTGCGAACTAATCCCTTTGCTCGCTGACTCTCGTGCAGATGCTAATAATCTCGGGAGAAAGGAGCAAGGCTGTTCTTGCATAGGCATCGTGGTAATATTCTTTGCTGTCTCCTACTGGTAAAGCAGGGACTTGACACTGATTTCTCAGAAGCAAAGCAGCCCTCCAGAGGATTCCTGCTTTCCTGTGCTACCTGGGCACTGCCGGGTTTGATGGAGGGTGCTCTCTGGTGGACTCATGGCTACATTGCTTGCTCCCCTCTGTCCTTCCTCTCCCTCCTGCTTATCTGGTGGAGCAAAGGGATAAGAACGGGTTCTTTATTTCTGTGAGGGAGAGAGGAAGGAAGGAAGGAAAGAAGGAGGACGGAAGGGGGCAAGGAAAGAAAGGGGGAAAGAAAGAAAGGTTTTTCCTTGCTTTTTCCTTCCTGCTCCTCAGTAAGTGGGGTGGAAGGAAACGAGGATCATTTTTTCTGTAACAAATGAAAGAAAGGGAATTGCTCCCTCTCCTGCTCACTTTCCAGATGGATGGAAGAGAAGATGTAGTCCCTTTCTGTTTGCTCCAAAGCTTCCATGGCTCCAGGGAACTCCCCAGCAGTGTCTTATAGGCAAAGTTGCCCTCCCTTTCCGTTTCTGCTGCCTATTTTCCTCTTAAAAGGAAAGGGAAAGCAGAGGGCTGCAGAAGCCTTAGAGAGTTGTGCCTAGCGGGTAGGGCTTGCAGGCACAGCACTTCGGGGCAAACACAGGCAGCACGTGCAACTGGCTGGAGCTTTGCTCTGCTCTGCAAAGTCTGCCTAGGCTAAGGAAAGGCTGCCCTTTCTAAGGGCAAGGAAAAGGTGGACGAGGTGGCGGCAACCTCTGTTGACGCGGTGCTGCTTTTGCGACAGGGCCTTGAGTCCTGTGGTCAGACTATGGGCACCAGTGGCCTGCAGCCTCTCATTTAGGTAGCCCCCTTCTGTGCATGCAGAATAGAGGTGCAAGGGAAAGCCATTTTTATTCTGTAGACCACCCATACCAACACCACAACTGGCAATATTCACAATTGTTCCTACTGGCACATGTATTTGTAATGCAAAGCAAAAGTGATTTTCAATGCAAAGTTTCTTCAAGACTGATCTTTTTCTTGCAGACAGACAATCTTATTACTGAGTCATAATATTGTTTTCAATTATACTGCAGTTTTTTGTTTCCAATTATTTCGAAGACTGTTGATTATAATTAAAATTTACAATGTTAATACGAAGAAACATGTATAATATTACCACCTGTAGATTATTGAAGTGTGTTGTGCGTGAGGCTGCTTTTCAAAAGCATTTTATTCCCAAATTAGTGCTGGAAGATTACTAATTGAGTCTGCATGTTTTAATCAATTACACCAATACCCTTATTATTTATCCATTACATTTCTATTCTGCCCAATAATCAAAGCTCTCTGGGTGATTCACAACAGAAGATTTGTCTGGGCTGCCTCTTCATCTGTTTCCAAGGCCATTTAATCTGCTGGTTTTAATGTTTAAAACCTTTAATGGTTTGGGACCACCTTACCCAAAAGATCAATTTCTTTTGTATATACTTGCCTGGAGTCTCTGCTAAGACATGCTGCTAGGTGAAGTCAGGTAGGTGATTTCCCGAGCTTTTTTTTGGAATAAAACTGTGACATAACCACTCCAGACAGGCCTGCCAGGTGCCTTTTCAACCACAAAAAAGATTTTGCGATGTTTGTTGGTTGCACGTCAAAGACTCTGTTTCATCTTCATGTTTCTTCTGTTCTCGAAGCCTCCCAGAGAACACAAGCTGACCGACAGATACATATAAACGGAGTGAGCAAACCAAATACTTACGGGGTCTTGCATGGGGTGACTTAAGGGTTTGTCAAGAGCTGCCATGCTACTGGGCATGTCTGGAGGATGTGACAACTGGGGTCCATGCATGAAGTCGTTGATGGACGTTCCACCAGGATTCCCATGTGGAAAATCAAAATTGCTGTGACCTTGGTAGCTATTACCTAGACGACAAAGAGGAGTTACTTGGATTATTTCAAATGGGCAATATGCTTTGTTACAGTGGTAACACCTGATCATGGCAAGGTTTCTGCTCCCATTTCCAGACATGGAGTCAAAGCACCTGTTAAGCTTAATGAAGAAAAGGCTGCAGCATTTGGCTCAGCCCTGGCCATCGTGTTCCTAGTTTCCACAAAATCTAGCCGCATTTGCTCATGGAAAACAGGACGTTAATGACCTACTTAGTGCACCCCATTTACACCAGCAGACTGCAACGGCCTTCTTCCTTCCAAAATGCAATTTGACTAATTATGCCACCCAGCAAAGGTGGAAGATGGATCATCTTATACAAGAACTCAAATGAGCAAGGCAAACCTCAAAAGCAAGATTCTTATTTATAGAAGCTCTCCAGAAAAGACGTTTATGTTCAAATCACTTTGAGCATTACCATACTTAAAATCTGAGATGTATAAATAACATGTTGTTCTGAAAAGTAGCATATGGATGTATCATGAGATGAAGGGCACACGCCTAGGCATATGTGCACAGAAACAAGTTCCAGATCTCTTCGGGTGCACCCAGCCAGCCACGTACCAGGCGACTTGGTGCTGCCAAAGGAGATGGAAAGCCGCATTTCTGCACTAGGCATTCCCCACTGTCGGGCCACTCACCTGCCTGCCTGCAATTCCTGCCTCCCCGACGCCACCAGAATAGCATTGACATAAAAGGCTGGGTTAGGAAACTTTTAGTTCACCTGTTTGCCTAGTTCATGTTAGTTTATCTGGAAATAAACTGGTTGGCAGATTCAATTTTGCTGGACTTTCAGCCCTAGCTTAATAAAAATACATAAATAGGCAATACATTTGTGTTGTAAGGTGCATTTGAAAAAGGGGTTCTAAAAGAGGAAAGGAAAGAGAGGGGAAAGGGGGATTCCAAAAGCAGCATGCTTTAGATCTGTCCAAATATTAAACCAAATGGGATTTTAAAAACGTAAGCAATATCTTAATTAATCTGGGGCTTTTCTGAAGCAGACTGAATCCAAATTTGAACTCACTGGAAGTTCTGTTAGAGCCTTCACCCTTCTGAATGCAAGCTGCTAACGAAGTCTGGAAAAGCTGATGCTTTGCTCCCCAGGCTTTCCATACAAGGAAAAGCCTTAACTGGGGAGGAGGAATTTCGTCTTGTGGTTGGCAGTTTTTTTTGTCGCAGGCCCCCAACTTTGAGTGCTTTGAGTTGCTTAATATTACCCGACAGCCCAGATCTTAGTGCACTTTCTCTGACTTAGTGCTCATCGAGCAGAAAACTTAAAACTGTTTTCCATGCATTATAACTCCTGAAAAACAGATTTGTCAGCACTGTCTGAAATTCATCTCACTTGCTGGATGTTGCAACTGTCACATCTCAACTCCCACCCCTCTTTTTCTGGTAATCTAAAAAAGCGCAAATCTCAAACTCAGACTGGTTTAGGAGGTCTGACAGGGTTCTCAGTGTCACCGAAGTTGGAGGAGCGACAGTTGCTTTCTAATTCTCACTTAGCTGCTAGTGTGCTTCCTGTGTGGATTCAAATTATCATTCTCATTTTGTTTCTGTACCACCCCCTAGCCAAGGCTCTCTGGGTGATTTACAAATGACTTCCAGGTGACACGGCCTGCTAAGTACGGTCTGTAGCCACACACAGCTGTCTTCAGTCATTCTTTCTTCTAGCATTTCAAGGTAAGAATGGAGGTGAAGTGAGTCTCATGTCCCTTCTCCACAGCAGAGGGAGACAACCTTGTTGGTCAGGGGGCCTTTCTTCCTCCTTTCCAGACTTACAGCCTGCAGCTGCTGAAGAACAGGGTCTTATTCTGGCTTAGCATGTCTTGAAATGAGGCCAAATCTGAGAAATTGGGCTGGCATCATCCATTCTCTAACTCTTCATCTGCCACGCTTCCTGCACTTTTAATTTTTAACTTCTTGTAATTTACTAACTTCCTGTCATTTTCAATTTACAGCAAAATTTGGAAGTTTTGGTGGGGCCAAGGCACTTAGAATTTCATCTGTGTGATGCCATGTCCCACTCTGGCCTGTTGGACTCTTGATGGCAGCAGCAAATCAAAATTCATATTCTGTTTAGCTCACGAACATGTGTTCCAATCTACGTGACTCCAGGTGAATTATCATCAAGTGTGGAGAAGTGCAGAAGTGTTAGGGTATACTTAGGCATGGCTGGGGATATGTAACACAAGAAAACCGATTCCATTTGAGCTTGATGGACTTTCGACACATTTCCAAGCTGACAGCCAAAAGCAGGCTGAGTATTTTTTTGCTTTCAGCATCCACAAAATGGCTTGAAAGATTTATGAAAAATTGGAGCCTAGAACTGTGCATTTCTGTGTGTATCTGGTGTCATTTGCACAAATCAGGGGTAATTCATTAGAATTGTTCCCACAGTAGCACTTCATGTGAAAAATACAGAGGCATCCTCCTCTCATGGCATATGCATACATTCCACCTCGGTCATTTTGAAGTTTCTGACAGTTAGTTTCAGATTTGGGCAAAACCCCAGGCTTCCATGCTACAATTTGCACTAAAATTCTGCACCACTTCCCCTGGATTCCAAAAAACGAGAATGTGCCCACTTTAAACACAAGGGCGACATGCTGGCTTGACATGTGTCAAACCAAGAGAGCCCCTGTCAGGGTGAACACAATGGCATCTGCAAGGCCAATTTGAGAAGATCGGTGGGACTTTTGGCCTCCACTCCAGTTCCTCACGTCCCTAGCATTGACTTGATTTCTCCCACTGGAACTCTTGTCTTGGCCACAAATGTGGGCATTTTTTCCTTCTTTGTTTCCATTCTCCCTGGAGCATCTCTGCTAAATCTCTCTAACTGCAGCGCTAGCCCTTGCACATTAAATGATGCAAACTAGGAAGAGGAATAAAACCGCTAAGTTATTTCATATAAGCCACTGCACAGGATCATGTTGAGCTTTGCAATAATAGAGTCGCTTTGGAACTTGCCTGGAGGGAATGCAGTTTTGTCAGCTGACGAGTGGCAGCTTTACAACATTCAAGCCAAACTGAGTTTCATGGAACTTGAAACATCTGCATCATTTGCTTTCCAGTACAAGCTCATTTTGAGGAGGAGTTTAATCTCAGGGGAACAGAAGTCATTAGCTGTGTAAGAGCATTTTTCAAGGAAGCGGAGGCTTTGATCTGTCATGTAAATACTTCAGAGCCACACTAATTCCCACTTAGCTAATCTGCAAACCAGCTAAGACTGCTGTCCTTGGCACACTTACTGGGGGTGCACCCACTGAACGCAGTGGGATTTACTTCTGAGAAATGCATACAGGATCAGACCCTGGGTCTGGAAGAGCTAAGCAGGACTCCCCATCCCTTCTCCCCATCCCTGATTTAAAAGCGGGGAGCTATATCTATGCATATTGCACTTACGGAGGTATCTCACTTCTTAATGAATTGTATCACAGTATCCTGAAACGTGAAGGTTAGTAATTAAGCCTACATCACCCGCGTGAAACATTTTGATTAATACCTTGCTCCACGGCAACTTTCCTCAGGGACCACTGGGTAGTTTTAAAGAAGAGATGAAAATCAGGAGGCAGGCTTTGTTGAGCAAGAATTGACTAGGACAGTGTTATGAACTGGGACCAGCACTGTTGACTCTGCCTGCCTCCTCAGTCCCTCATGATGTGGGGCTTATAAACTCCATTTAGTCCAGCTGTTTTGGCAGACTTCTTCCCATCTCTAACCCAGCTGCCCATTCCCACTTGTCTGTGTCCTGGATTGCATGTAGGACTTGGCAGCTGAATTGTACCAACTTTGCTAATGCAACACCAGCTCTATTCAGTTGGTTCAGAACAGCTTCCAGGATGTTAATGGGGACCAGCAGGTATTCACATATAATGTTGGTCCTCTCTGATCTACACTGGCTGCCAGTTGAAGTCCAGGCCCAATTTAAGGTGCTGGTGATGGCCTATAAAGCCCTAATTGGCTTAGGTCCTGGATACCTGAAGGAGTTCCTTCTCACCTGTGCGCCCTCCCGTCCCTTAAGATCTGAGGTGGAGGTTCTGCTCTGGGAGCCCTCCTTGAAGGAGATTAGGAGGGTGGCTACCTGGAAGAGGGCCTTCTCTGTGGTGGCGCCCCAATTATGGAATATGCTTCCCAGAGAGGTTCGCCTGGCACTGACACGTTACTCCTTTCACAGCCAGGTGAAAACCTTTTTATTGTCCCATTATTTTAATGTTTAATGGGTTTTAATGTGGATTTTATTATATTGGTGATATTGGATGCTGTGCTCCATTTCATTTTGTGTTGCTTTTATTGTAAAACCATCCCAAGACACTAGTAGTTGGATGGTATATAAAAACTTTAAATAAATAAATAAGCTTTTGTTGCGCCTTACACTGGTGTCAGCAGTGGAAGGCGAACTGAGAATGTGTCTGCCCTGTGTGAAGGAGCTTGCCTGTGCAGTGGCATTAACTTGCGAGACTAGCAAATTTTCTTAGTCCCTAGGACCTACTCAATTAAACCATTTTCTATCCAAATAGTCTACATTTTCCCTGAAATGCTTTACCATTCCACAGTTGGAGCTGTGCATTTTAAGCTTAGGGCGACATCACAAAAATTGAAATTGCCAAATGGACATCATGTTGTAGAAAAGAAGCTGTCATACCATCATCAACTCAGACGTCAGAGTGTAGGACATGGAATAATCAATCTGGGTTGCAACAACTCAGGTTCAGGCTAGATATCAGTAACTTTCCTCACAGTCAGAGCAACATGACAGTGGGACCAGCTGCCTAGAGAGGTGTGGGGCTCTCCCACACTGGAGACATTCAAGAAGAAACTGGACAGCCATCTGAGTGGGATGGTGTAACTTGGTGTCCTACAACAGCAGGGGCTTGGACCTGATGGCCTTCATGGCCCCTTCCAACTCTACCATTCCATGATTCTATGGCTTAGTGAAGATGCTCCATCAAGCTGACCCAGATCAGCAACCATCTGTTGACTGCTGAATTGGGCAGCAGCTAGTTAATGCCTGCTACTGCATGTCTAAGACACACAAGGATACACCCAATGCTGACATGTACCTTGGTTACTGTATTCATTGGAATTAGTGCCGCCAGGTGGAGGAGGGATTGATGGATAAGGTGATGGGCCTGGACCCAATGCGGCTATCATCTCCATCACATTAGGCATGATCATCTGGCTAGGACTCATGGTTTTAAACCTCTTGGAAGGAATGCCATCTGGGTCATCTTTGATGTGAATGTCCGACTTGATTGGGACGGGTCTCCAGCTACATGTTGGGTCAATTGTGACTTCTTCAAACTCAGAGCTGTAAAACACAAGAAGTTCCATGATATTATACAGGATATTCTCTCCTTCATAAAAACTCTGCTTCAAGGCTTCAGATCAAAACATGCTAACAAAACAAATGTCGCCATGTATTCATGCTCTGCTGATAAATCTACAGCAGGTTAGGTTTCTTTATATGGCCGTGCTGCACTCGTTTCAGAAGACACATGTGCTTTCACCTCCACATCTGTTCTCTCACTGGTTTCTTGGCAAGACTAGCATAAAGAGCTCTCAGTGGAGTGAGTTGTTTAGTTACAGGACAAAGAGAAACTCGCTTTACCGGCCCGTGTGATCTGGCACAAGTATAACCTGCTCTAGACGTGCTTTGGCTTTGACATCGGACATCATCTGCTTTGTTCGAACTGTTTTCTCTCTGCTTTCAATGCTATCAACACAGAGCTCAAAAAATCAAACACTTGGAAGAGCCTATGCACTAACCATCAACGCCCAGGAAAAATGTTCGAAGCAGAAGTTTCATTAAGATGATAAGAAAAGGATTGCCATTGTTCCCCAATGGTGAAGTTGCACTTACTTTTGTATAGCGTTTAGAATGCCCCACATGTACTGGTCAACTTCCAGGCCTTCCAGCAGAGCTGTTTTACTAGGAAAAAGATGGAATAATTACTTATTTGCTTACATCCCATTTATCTGCCATTGTGCGTTGTGATTTACAATATAACATAGGTAAAAGTTAGTGCTGTATTCCTTTAGACTGCTGAGGGGCGGGGGTGGAGCAAATGCAGTTACACCTCAGTTCCTGAAGTGTGAGAAATCCATGCTTGAATGTCCAAGCATGGAAAAGATCCTGTGACAGGTCATGTTTTCCTTCCCAGCCAATCCTGGGATGCCTGCATTCACTGTGTTCCACCATGTGATCCATGTCCCAGGTGACTGGGAAAGAAGGTGGCTCAGAAGAAGGTGCAGCTTTCTTCCTCAGTCTCTCTACCTGCCCAGGGCTTTAGGAGGGTCAGATGTATCCTGCCCTAGTCTTCAAAACTGCTGTTCTTATATGCAAGCCATCTCTGACTCATGGTGACCCTGTGAATGAAAGCCCTCAGAAAAGGCCGTCCATGACAACTCCATTAAGCTCTTCCAAGTTCAAGGCTTTATGGATTCAATCCAACTTGTCCTTGGCCTTCCCTTTCATCTTCTGCCTTCAACTTTCCCTAGCATGGCTGTCTTCTCCAGCGAGTCTTCCCTTCTCACGTGTCCAAAGTACGACAGCCTTGGTTTTGGCATTTTTGCTTCTAAGTAAAGTTCTGGCTTGCTTTGATCCAGGACTCACTTGTTGGCCTTTCTGTTGGTCCAGGAAATTTGCAAAGCTCTCCTCCAACACCATGTTTCAAATGCATCCATTTTCTTCCTGTCAGCTTTCAAACCCAAATGCTATGACTGAGAATATAATCAAAAGATCTGGATGATCTTGATATTCATTGCTCTCCAGCAGACCATCCTTACACGTGATCTTTTTAAGTTCCTTCCTTGCTGTCCTTCCAAGTCTCAGTTTTTGTTTTTGTATTTTTTGGCTACAGCTTCCCTTTGAATGGATGACCGAGGTATGTAAAATCTTTCACAATTTTGATTTCTTCAGTATTAACAAAAGTTCAGTAATTCTTCTGTAGACACCAGTTTTTATTTTCTTAATACTAAATTGCAGTCCTGCTTCTGTACTTCATTCTTCACTTTTATCGGGAGTCATGTTTCAAGTCATTACTGCTTCCTGCCAGTATATATTATCATCTGCGTATCTTAAATTAGTGACATTTCTTCCACCGGTGCCATTGCGGAATTTCACAGTTAGACTGTGAAAAGCAGCAGTGCAGCTCTTTTGCAGGGGAAGTGGGATGCAGAGATGCCCTTCACAGCTCACAGTACTGGCCTGCATGACATAGTGACTGAATGTCTCTTTCTGGAATGCTTCCAAGCATCCAGCAGGCTGCCTTAAAGGGTTCTAATGGCATTTAGCTACCCAGATAGGAGACATACGTTGTTCTACACTGTGGTTATATTCATGTATAAGTGTCATCTTTTCAGTGGCAGGTTAAGATCTTTTCTTAGGCTCTTAAAGACTTTCTCAGTCTCCCGGGGGCTTGAGGGGTGTTTTGCCGTCTTGCTCGTCTGTGTTATTCCTTTTTATTGTCTGTTTATATTATCTGCTTTTAGCTGTTTGAAACTTGTTAGTGTTTTTTCTGGTTTTATATTTTTATTCTATTTTTATCCTCTGTTTTTATGGGCTATGTAAATTGCCCAGAGAGCTTCAGTGCTGGGGCAGCGTAGAAATTAAATGCATAAATAAATAAATCTATATCTTACAGGAAGCCTTTGGAAGACAGAGCAGTAGGGGAAAGCTGACAGTGTGGATAGGAGATTAATGCTTCCACTGCATTAATTTATATTTATCTCTGGAAAAGCATCAAATCAAGTTAAAACAGAGAAGCCTGTCTGGAGCAACAGAACTGCTATGGAACTCCTCTGTGAAGCTGGAGAATATTTCATATCACACAGTTTCCTTGGGCACTGACTAGAGCTATTGGGAGTACATTGCAAGAGAGACCATGGGAGTTGGACAGGTGCTGCCATTCTGGGTCTACTCACCAAAAAATCCTTTACAAGGTTGCACAGAATCAACAGAAAACAGTTTGAAAATCTGGGTTTAGGCACCATTGTTTCTGTCTCACTAGGCCACACATCATAAATGTGGTGGGAAGGTTTGGTTTCCTTGTCACTCGGCTTTTTGTAGCATCAGTATTTTGCAGCCATTCTTCACAGAGTAGGACTTGTCAGAAAATGCCTTGTACACATTCCAGATCTTTTGCTCCCTGAATGGGTCGTATCTCAAGCTACATGAGAAACTAAACTTCTTAGCTGGCCTCTCTGATACTGTTCTCCACATTTGCATGTAATTAATTGAAGCATTGCTTATCTGTCTCCTTCCTAAAGCAGATAAACTTCACTGATTCTCTTTGTTAAAATCTTACTTTTAAGGAAGATACCATTATAGCCCCTGTGGAATAGTCACACTCACTTGCATACCGGACACCTCCATGTCCCTCGTTCACAGTTCAGCTGCAAGTAGGATTCCAGGTCAAAGCACTGCAGAAGAGGAAAAGAGATGTGTTGGCTCAACAGCGCTGGGGCCAAATTACAAAGCAGAGTGAACAAGTGGCTGGATGAAACCACCGCTCCGTTAAGTGCAAATAATACAGAGCAGGAGCTTTCACAAAAGGCATCTATGGAAAGGAAAGGCACATGCTTTCATCAGTGAAACAAGAGAAATACTAGTTTCCCCACCCTCATGTTCTCTGTTGGCCATGCTGCCTGGGGACCCATGGAAGAAACCAGATTTGGGAAGGCTGGTTAATACACGGAATACTCCATGGGTAGGAATCAAAGCAAGGATGTACCAAAACAGGGAAATCCAGTTTTTTGACTTTGGCAGATTTCCTGCCCACTTCCAATCAAAAGCAGGCCAAATTGGGAAGGGGGTTGTGGATTTCTGTCTCGAAGACAAGACCATGATTTCTGCATATTTTAACCAGTACTGAAATTCACATAAATAAGCCCTGTGAAATTATGTACAGTAGCTCTAGTGCAATTTGTGCAAAATCAGCCCATTTACACAAAGCATAACTTACAAAAATTGTGGTTTGTGCAAATTCCCCAATTCTCCACAAGTTTTGCTAGAGCGCTGTGGTTCTAGGGTATTCTGTGCAAATTTCAACAGGGGTTAAAGACAGAATGCTCAAATCATGGGCAGATTTTGTCCAATTTGTCAAAATTGTCAGGTTTTGACTCCTTATCAGACATGTCACACATTCTTAATTCAAAGATCCCATGAGTGGAAGGCGGTTCACCAACCGATCTTTCTCCTTCCTGCTGAAAAGTCTCCCTGGAGGATCAGGTGATCTTCCTGGGTGGCAGGAAAAGTGCTGGGGAAGGCCGCTGGGAGAGGGGGAAGCCACTTGACTGGGCAGGGAATCCAGCCCTAGCGAGGCTGCTTTTCAGGGGGTCCCATTTATTTGTCCATATGAATTTCTGTATCATAATCCCATTGAATTCAGATTTGAGTCTTCTCACGCATCATCCGCAACCAAGAGCCAAACATCAGGAGACACAGGGTCAGAGAAACATAAGTGCCAAAAACAGAAACACCAAGGAATATTTCTAAGGGTGGGTCAATCCCCTGTGCAACAGCCCCCTAAGAACTAAATGGTAGGGAATGTTGAGAGACTTAGTGGAAACAAGCACAACTCCTACAGCTGACAGGGAAGGCAAATGGAGTGCAATGGCTTAAAAAGACGGGTGAAATGCATGCACTGATGATAAGAGAAAGGACTTTCCAGTGGTGGCTCCGTCGGTAGAAAGCTCACTCAAGTGGGGGTTTGCCACTCTAAACTCCTTTTTGACCCGGGCAAGGACAGTTTCATTTCCTCAAATTTTTAAACATCAGGTTAATATGATGTTATTAGTCTATTTTCACTTGGCCGGTTTTTAGAATTTCTAAAGGAGTCATTAAATTTTTCTGGCATTGGCATCTGTTTTTTCTTTTTATGCTGGTTTTGGATTCTATTGTTAAGTGGAGTTTCTTCTGTTTTATTCTTTATATTTTGCATTAATGAACCAGTTTAGGAAGAGGCTAACGAAGACAGTAAGCAAGCATTATTTTTAAAAGAGCATGGAGAAAGCCTTCCAGTATTTGCTACTTCACGGATCACGTTGAGAAGCTGTTTTTAAATGGCCACAGGGACAGAAATGAGAGCTGCCCTCAAAAGGGGAACTGAAGGTCTCTGGGATTGGGTGCGTCAACCTGCTGCCCTTCCCTTGATTAGCGGGGAAATCCAAAGGGGAAGGGAAGCCCTCCAAATAGACCAATGAGGACTGGGCATGCACACACAGAGATGGTTAATAGTTTAGGGAAAGCTACGGGAATTCTAAGAAAGTAACAAACTGGCAGGAAATAATCTGTGCATGTTCCCCATGGCAGCCGAGCTGCTGAGGCAGAAGATGTACGGCTGGCCTCCCAAAGGGCTACCTTCTGAGTTACTAAAATGTTCCAGTTTTCCCTTCAACAGATAGGAACAGAATTGCCTGCAAGGACACAGAGAGGTTCAACAAGTCAAATTCCTGCTAGATTCTGACTGGCCATATGAGGGGAAAGACTGGGAGTCTCGTTCAGGGCAGCTGAAGAAGGCTGAAGTTAGAAGAAACACATTGGCGTACAGTGTCCTTCAACTTTTTAAGGCCTTTCACTTGTTGTCATACATACACAAACATACCACAAAATAACAGGGTTCTAAGGAAAGATATTACTCTTTTCTGAAGAAAATAAATCAGAGTAGGTGAATCAAAGCTGATTTGTATTGTTTCTTAATCCCCCGACAGCACCAAAGTTAATCTTTCCTGTGTGATTGCGAAACAGAAAATAAATTGCTCATTATACCCTTAAGTTTCATAATTTCTGGCTTCAGCAATTGAGATCTGATGACAGGACGGGTAATACCAGCATCTTGCAGAAATGTGAAGGAGGCACATTTTAACTGCAGCTTCAAGACAAAGTATTCCCTTCCTTCTCCTACTTCATCTCCCTGTTCTTTGGGAATCGATAATAAAACTGAGAGAGACCAGACCGAAAGCACATTAATGCTGAGTGGACAATTGTGACCAGGGAAGAGAAATATAGCTCATGCCACCTGTATATAGCAGACTGCTGGGGCTGAGTAAACCCCTAGTTTTTGCTCCCTGCCTGGCGGAGCAGAAAGGGGTGGGGGGTGGTTTATGAAGCATTTGGCAGGTGAAAAAGCATAGCAGGTAGGCTGTGTTCAGCTTGGCAGGTCACAGGCTGTGAAGGGACACACTCACCTGTACATGTTTGCAATCATGGCCTCTCGCTGGAAGCTGAATCCGCCGGAATGTGATTGGACACTTTAGAGACACCTTGATAGCCGTCTGCTCCACTCCATCCTCGCCATTGAGGGTGGCATTGCCAGACGAAGCTGCCACACTACTAAAATTCCTCTTGACTGTTCAAGAAAGATGAGAGTGTGAAATAGACACCATCTGAATCTGACCATCTTGCCTGCTGTACTTGATACAACATAGAATTGGTACAGCTCCTGTGTTCACCCCATTATCTGAGGCCACACATGAAAGTAAACTGTACTGTTCTACTCACTTTTCGTGATGCAGTGTTCAGCTGGAAGGAGACGTTTCTTTAGTAAGCCTTGAAGTACAGAACGGACCGAGGGCCGGTGTACTAATTGCAATACGAACAAATGTGACTGTGGAAAAGACAGAAAGCCAAAATTCACACATCCCTACTGGATACCTCTGCCATTAGCTCCATCAGGGGAATGTACAGTGTGATTCTAAGAGGGTTCTAACAGGCTCTACTTCGTGTGTCTCTTGATAAGTGCCCTCCTACCCATTAAGATCCCCAGGAGAAGACCTACTTCAGATGCTAGGCCCCCAGAAGGCATCAGCAATATTCCTTCAGTTCTCTGGACTCCCTTTTCTAGTGCAGATGGCACTGAAGTTCATCCTAGCCATGCCTGAGGACAACCTTCAGGATCTTACAAACACACTTCAAAGGAGATGCAAGCTTTTAAAGCCTCCAAACCTTTCCAGGTGAGACCAGAATCTGGACCAAACCCAAGTTCTCTTCCAGGCCTCCCAAGAAGGGCTTTGGCCAGATACTCCCCCATGGCCCAAGCACAATGCCCCTTCTTCTACTTTTGAACAGCTAAGGGGCACAATGTGGCTGCTGCCTTTGGGAGAACTCCATCCCCATGAGCCAGGTGGAACTGTCACCCAGCACACTGGTATGCATGACAGAGGGGGGAAAGGCCGTTCTCCCTCTCTGTGGCCACTGCTCATACTACTGTGCCCACGGTTCCTTAAAGGGTAGGTGGCCAGGGTGTTTGGGGACTCACAGGGATGGCTTCTGAGGATGTCAGGAGTGGCAGACTGTTTTTCGGAGTGCCGCAGATAGGCTTTAATCCAGTTTTTCGTTATGGATGAGAGTAAATCTTCCTGAGATGCGTTTGGATAAGCTAACCTTTCCCTTGCTTCCTAAGGAAGACTGTCACACTTGGTGTTAGAAGGCAAGCTATTTCTGTTGAGAAAAACTTTGGACCAGAACACACCTGATTTGCAGTTGAGTCAAAATGCAATGGAAACCTCCAGCTAGGCCTGTCTTGGAGCTAATGCTGTGAGTGTGAATTTGGATGCATATCCCTTTCTATATAATCCTGTATGATATTAAAGGATTATATCACTCTCCTCCCCACCCAATCCTATTTTGTCCCTGCATAAATGGAGACTTGTATCATACAGACCACATCTCGGCCCTTCTCTGGCCTGTGATGCCTCCCAGAAAGGCTGCATCCAGAGCAACTCCCAAAAGCCACACCCCATTAGAAAAGGCAGAGGCAGTGGGAGAGTCGCTCACACCTTGAGCCACAGCTCAGCCTGGTGCATGCGTCGCCAGGTATGCCAATGGTATGCGCACAGGTGACATCCAGGGAGATGTATCAGGTGGCCACATGCTAGCACTGGTACAGCCCCTCCTCCTTTTTTGGCACTGGGACCCCCACCACTGTTGATTAGAGCCCTCTGGAGCTCATTTGGGCCATAGTCTGAAAAGGGTTCCCCCACCCCAGCCTACCGTCTGTAAAAACATGAGCAGGGCATACTCTTTGCTTAGGAGTGAGCATTTGTGGAAGGTCATTGTTTGAGAAGAGAAAATTTTCCTTAGAAACCATCCGCGCGCGCGTGTGTGTGTGTGTTTCATAAGGCTATGAGAAACTGCAGTTGCATCAGTTTTAAAAAGATGCAGACCATCTGGAAAGAGTTCAGAGCAAAGCAACAAAGGTGATCCAGGGACTGGAAACAAAGCCCTATAAGGAGAGGGCGAAGGAACTGGGCATGTTTATCTCTGAGAAGAGACGGCCGAAGGGAGATATGATAACAGTCCACCAGTACTTGAAAGGCTGTCACAAAGAGGGAGGTCAGGATTTCTTAATCGTTCCAGAGTGCAGCACACAGAATACAGGGATTAGTTGAAGGCCAGATTCTGGCTAGTAAGATTCCTGACTGTTTGAGCAGCAGGACAATGACCTGGGGAGGTGGGGGCTCTCCCACACTGGAGGCATTCAAGACGCAGCTGGACAGTCCTCTGAGAGAAATCCTGAGTTGTGTAGGAGGTTGAGCCTGATGGCCTTCTTGGCCCCTTCCAGCTTCATGATTTTTTTAAAACTAGTCTTTCTACTAGTTAACTAATCAAAGACTTTTTAAACTCCATATGTAAGTTAATAGGTTGATCAACAGAAAGACTCAGGGCTTCACAGTCATGCCGCTTTGGCTGATTCCCTTCAAGTTCATGGATGGTTCAATATGAAACCTGAAATCTGATCTATGAAATATCGACCTGGATTTAATCGAGTGGCAGAAATAGGGGAAACTGCACACAGCATTTCCCTGCATGGCGGATGAAGGCAATCCAGAGTATTCGAACCACCAGGCGTCTCTGCCTCTTTGCTGGTCTGCATGTGTTCCTTTTTCATAAGGAAGGAGGGAATTTCAGGAGCTGTGAGTTGGGCTGAGTGAAAGACCTGGGCCCCCTTTCCAGCTAACATTAGAACACCAAATTTGCATCATCCTTGGAAGAGAGGCACAGAAGTACCACTATTACTTGTGAACAATTTGGACATGTGCAAAATAGTTGGCTATTTTCTGCTCCATGAAACACTACTCTTTCCAAATTAAAACTAAATGCAGTTGTTTTCTTGATCTGCTGTTTAGAGATGTTAACAAGGCATGTCTGGATTTTCTGCTTCTGAGTCTGTTTCTCCCTCTTTCTTTCTTTCTTTCTTTCTTTCTTTCTTTCTTTCATTCATTCATTCATTCATTCATTCATTCATTCATTCATTTTATATCCTACCCCAAACCACACTCTCGGCCACCACACCAGGCTGGCTCTCTGGCTAGCTGGAAGAACTACAGACCTGAAGAGTCCAGGTCTTTCCCAACATTGTTTAGGTCTGTGTTTAAACATTCAAAAGCTCAATGCTACAAACAAAAGATTGCAAACTTGTTTCCATTCAGGTGCACTTCTCAGTTCTCTGCTGAATGTCTACAGGGCAGCAAATACTGCTTTATTGTTAGGTATGCATCCTGCATACATTGCTAAAGACACAGATTATGCATCCTGATTCGACTGGGTGGGCCAGCAGCTATATGAATTAGCAGATTCTATCATGTCACATTAAATTTAGTAAGTCTGGAATTCACCATCCTAAACTGAATTTGGTTTGCTGTTTGGGTCATTCCATGGTTTGCATAGTGCATGAGCCCTGAAACTGTTTTTCTTGGTGCATGAAAAACAGATCTGGCATCTCCAAACATTTTCCAGGATGTCACAGACCCCAATTATATGGTAGAGCTTCTAAATGAATCCTACGATGATGCAATAGCACCAAGCCGTTGTTTTCCCAGGGCAGAAAATGCAAATGCAGCCTGACTAACCCATTATCTGGACCAGGCAATGACCCTTCTACTGGGCAGGTTTGAACTCCAGGGAATTTACAGCCCAATCGTATCCCCAGCTACTCAGGAGTAAGTCCAGGTGGACCAAATGGCAGTGGGCACAGCATTGCGGTCTGTTGCTTCCTGGGCATGTGTCTTAGTTTGGAAACTGAATCCTGGGACAATTTAGCAGTTTAAACAATTGGCAGTATCAAGCCAAAGGCTGGCAAAGCATCCCTGAAAAAGAGAAAAGGCTTCGCTGAAACGGGGACCCCGGCGAGGCGAACCACTCGCTTCTTGCCGTACAGGCAAAGCGCAGGGTCCCCTGCAGCAGCGGCAGGTCCGCAATACTTACGCAACAGCACGCTGTGACGGTGATCTGAATCGTGTTTCTTCCTGGCTGGCAGACATGCTTTAGGTGCAGGGGTTTATGCGACGTCTTGTTGTCGCCCCGCTCGATGGTAAGTGGAGTCGCGTTGACGCTGACCTGGACCGAGGCCGGCCAGTTGGTGTTCATCTGCCTGTCTTCGTGGTGGTAGCACTTGAACTGTAGCTCCAAGTCAGACCTGATGGTGCAAGGCACATTCTGGGTTGGCATCTGCAACGGCCATTTCCGCACGGCAGACAATGCCAACTTCCCCCATTTCGGTAACCGTGCATGTGCTTTCCCGCCCCCTCAACTTCGTCCCGTGCAACGCGATTCTGACATGTGTGCGCATGATACAAATCTTGTCTGTGAAGGTAATCTACACAATGGAGAATGTGATGTGTCTGAAGGGTTTCCGCATGGCTGCAAAGTTGTGAGGTAATAGTATCATTACAGTTCGGTTTGGCTTGTTTTGTGCGTGGCTTCATAGCGCTTTGCAAAAATATGGGCTTTTAAGCTGCTGGAATGGCTCGACAGAGAGTGGGGAAGGAGCAGCCAGGAAGCCTGGCAATTAGGGTTTGGACATAAGAAACCCTATAGGTTTAGACATAAGACATTAAAATGTGTTAGCTCGATCACTCTCAATCAGTATTAGGATTCTCCTGCCCAACTCGCATCTTCTTCTGTTCACCAGATAGCAACACAAGAGAGGCCTCCAGTCCAACAATGAGAATTGATCTGTGACCTGTGACCCTGCAGCAGATTCTGGGGACAATCCTTTCCCGGTTGCTGCTTCATTGCATGTTGAGTTTATGGATGGGAATGCGGCCATTTAAGCATGCGTGAGCCATTTGCAGTGGATCATTCCACATGTGCCATGACAGTTAAGCCTGAGTACATTTTGCGCCTGAAGTGCGAATCAGCTCTGCAAACGATGCTGGACCCAAGTTAGCCTGTTGCGAATCCATAGTACCTCTGCCCGTGGGATTCTCCATCTCTGCCTCCGTTTATAAGCAGGCAGCAGAAAAATAAGGAGGTTACAGATAGATGGAGTTTCCTATTTCTCTTAATACCCCGCAGCACCAGAATGAACAAAGGCAGATGTTAGAAGCCGTCCATAGCAGCTGGAGCTAGTCTGATTCCTACAGAATTTGTAAGATGTCAGGCTAAAAGTTTACAACTGTTATTCCAAAACTTGGTATTGTTGTTAGAAGTGCATTTATTGAATAATGAAAGCTGTCTTCACCAGCCTGCTGCCACCAAATCTTTTGGAAAACAACCCCCAGCATTCCTGACTAGGGCTGACGGAGCTGAAGTCCAAAACATTTGGAAGGCTCCGGTTTGGGCTGGATTGAAGGCTCTTGTATTCACTGAAAGAAGCTGCCTCCTGCAGGATTTGGTGTCCTTGACGGAAGGTGTGCAATCCCGCCGTACCTGCATGCACCGTATGTTGGATCGCTCCGTCAGTCCTAATGCAGAGGCACAACTGAACCGCTCACTCTCAGCACGGTGACTCATGCAGAAACAGAGGTGGACACCCCCACAAAAGGCCTGCCTACCCTCAGATAGAGCCATCTGTGCTTCGAGATGAGCCAGTTTGGAGCATGGCTTTGGACGGAGACGTACCCACAGCTGTCAATCACACAGCGGTTAAACAGGTAGTAGGTGATGTCAATGGGTGTCTATACATGGTGATATATTGAGCATAAACCTGCCTGGTGTGCAAAGAGTGAAACACACCCTCTCTTCAGAGCCTGGTGTGCCTCTGCTGCCCAGAATTCTGTGCAGCCGATCTTTGCATTCTTAGAATGCAAATGCTGAGCAGCATGGCAGGGGGCGGGAAACAGAGCGCCAGGCACCATGCAACTTGTCCAGCTTGCATGCACGGGAGAGGCTTGTCTCCAGCACTGCAGGGATGTTCAGCAGCTAATCTGAAGTAAACCTCTGCACACACGAAATGTGGGGAGGGGCCGTCTTATCCTTCGCTGCCGGTGCCCACACAGAGCCTCTGCCTGCGTTTTCTATTTATAGCCAAGGCTGAAACAACAACAAAGAACTTGGAGGAAGAAGCAGCGTGTCTTTCACAGGCTGGGAGAGGATGTTCCCAGAAGCGGTACCTTTCGAAGGACAATTCTTCAGAGTGCATTCTATTAAAGTATTTGGAAATAATTTAAATAGGAGCCTACAGCTTCAGTGTTCTGTGCTGTATTCTTTTAAGCTGCCAGCATTAAGAAGCAGCCCCATGCTTCAGTGCAGCTCTATAAATCTACAAAACGAGTCTGCACAATCGCAGTGGTGATTACTTATTAATAGGAGTCAGCAAATAACTACATCGGCTCCTTCTATTGTGGTTACTCCAGGATAATGAAAGGCAAGCCAGCTATAAGGACTGCTCATTTAGGGCATTAACTCTTGGACGTAACTCACTGAAAAGTGCTATTAGTTTCAAATAAAAGTAGACAGGGGTTACCAGCCAATTCTTGATGTCCCAGACCTGGTGTCCCAACAGTTGGAGTCATATACATAGAAACATAGAAACTGAGCGAGTCAGAAGGGGCCTCCTATGCCATCTAGTCTGACCCCCGGCTCCAGCCGGCTCTGCTCACAACATGCCCACCATGTGCATGTCTAGCCTATCTTTGAACACCCTTCCCGATGGGGCCACAGCCACCTCCTGCTGCCAATGGGTTCATGATGAAGACCAGATTTTGCTGCTACCTTGCGCACCTACTACAACCTCCACGAAGTCTGGTGGGGGTGAGCCATCCCCCCCATTTTGAGCGCATGGGGGGGGGCAGAAAGTTTTGCACACGTTGCCCTTGGATTCAACCATGGACTCGGCTCCCTAGGTGACATGACATAAAGCAGAGGGGAAAATGCAAAGTGGCCAGGGATGGGTAGTTGGGAGCCAAAGGTACATTCTAGCTTCTTCACAAGGACACTTTCTAAGCCCATCTCAGCCATGCAGTGATTATATTAAAAAAGAAAGCAAGAGGCAGTTGGATAGGAAGAACAGGAAGGCCAAGCCTACGTGGAGTTGAGGCTCACTGACCTAACTGCTCCGCAATTGTAACGGGAAATGTGTACAGCATAAGGCCGGGGAAGCACACTTCCCAGCACCAGTGCGTCTGTAACTGCCGGAGATTTAATCCATCAGAGCTTGCTGTGAGTCCTGTAAGAACTGGTTCCCAGCTCTCCATCCGGCCCTTTTACTGGCCTGGGGGAATGAGGCCCTGGCTGACTCCAGCTACGAGGGAAGCTGTTGGGCTGCCAACCCATTTGGTGCATATTAGAAGACCTCCTGCGTGGAGAAAGGGGAAAATATGATGGAGAATGCGCTGTGTGGGAACGATGGAGCAAGATGGTTCAGGTGAGAGCCACAGGTTGAGCCTTGGTACCAACCACCAGGTACTGGTGAATGGCTTTGGACTAGCTATGGGGCCAAGGGGACTGCAGATACAGGGGATCCTCTGTTACTCTTAGGCTGGTGGAGATTAACACGCCTGTGTTTTCCCCAGCCCTGCTGTAAAGTTTCTGCCTTAATAGGTTTTGATTAATGAAATTGGTTTAAACTGTAAAGCATTTTGATATTGATTTATTGTATGCAACCTTAGTGGGTTATTTATGGGTTAGTAGGTGGATAGTTTGTTAAGTAAATATGTATATTTTTGGTTTGGCATTAGAGAAATGCAACAGGTGGAATGTTTTGTTAGCTTGTTAATGCAGATATAAATGTTCCAATTTATAAAATACTTTAAATAACTTGGTATGCTTTCAAAATCATGTGCAGTATCTGATCTGGCACTAGAACTAATGTAAATTAAGTTGCAGTCACAATAAATTGCCTCTCAACGGCACCAGTGGCACTTGCTGGTGTGATGACTTTTCTTGTTGTTGTTTTTAGTTGCGAAGTCATGCCCAACCCATCGTGACCCCAAGGACAACATTCCTCCAGGCCTTCCTGTCCTCCACCATCCCCCGGAGTCCACTCAAGCTCACGCCGACTGCTTCAGTGACTCCATCCAGCCACCTCATCCTCTGCCATCCCCTCCTTCTTTTGCCATCTATTGTTCCCAGCATCAGGCTCTTCTCCAGGGAGTCCTTCCTTCCCATTAGGTGGCCAAAGTATTTGAGCTTCATCTTCAGCATCTGGCCTTCTAAAGAGCAGTCAGGGTTGATCTCCTCTAGGGCTGACTGGTTTGATCGCCTTGCGGTCCAAGGGACTCGCAGGAGTCTCCTCCAGCACCACAATTCAAAGGCCTCAGTTCTTCGGCGCTCAGCCTTCCTTATGGTCCAGCTTTCACAGCCATACATTGCAACTGAGAAAACCATAGCCTTGACTAAATGCACTTTTGTTGGCAGGGTGATGTCTCTGCTTTTTAGTATGCTGTCCAGATTTGCCATAGCTTTCCTCCCAAGGAGCAAGCGTCTTTTAATTTCTAGGCTGAACTCCATCTGCAGTGATCTTGGAACCCAGGAAAATAAAATCGGTCACTACCTCCACTTCTTCCCCATCTATTTGCCAGGATGTGAGAGGACCGGATGCCATGATCTTAGTTGTCTTAATGCTGAGTTTCAATCCAACTTTTGCGCTCTCCTCCTTCACCCACATCAAGAGGTTCTTTAGTTCCTCTTCACTTTTTGCCATTAGAGTGGTATCATCTGCATATCTGAGGTTGTTGATATTTCTCAATCATCTGCATATCTGAGGTTGTTGATATTATTCCAACTTGTGATTCCTCTAGCCCCGCCTTTCTCATGATGTGCTCTGCATATAAGTTAAATAGGCAGGGCGACAGTATACAGCCTTGCTGAACTCCTTTCTCAATTTTGAACCAATCAGTGGTTCCGTGTCCAGTTCTCACTCTTGCTTCTTGACCCGCATATAGGTTTCTCAAGAGACAAATAAGATGGTCTGGAACTCCCATCTCTTTAAGAACTTGCCACAATTTGTTGTGATCAACACAGTCAAAGGCTTTAGCATAGTCAATGAAACAGAAGTAGATGTTTTTCTGGAACTCCCTAGCTTTCTCCATGATCCTGCATATTGTGGCAATTTGATCTCTAGTTCCTCTCCCTCTTCGAAATCCTGCCTGTACTTCTGGTAGTTCTTGGTCCACATACTGCTGGAGCCTCGCTTGTAGGATTTTGAGGCTTTGCTAGCATGTGAAATGAGTGCAATGGTGCGGTCGTCTGAACATTCCTTGGCATTGCCCTTCTTTGGGATGGGAATATAAACTGGCTTTTTCCAATCCTGTGGCCACTGTTGAGTTTTCCAAATTTGCTGGCATATTGAGTGTAGCACTTTCACTGCATCGTCTTTTAGGATTTTGAATAGCTCAGCTGGAATACAGTCACCTCCACTAGCTTTGTTGTTGCTCAGACATCCTAAGGCACACTGAGTTTTCTAGGCGACTGCTTTTCATCTGTTGCAATGATCTGTCATTCTAGGGCACAGTCCCCCGAAACAGGCATCAGGGAACGGGACTGTGAAAGTTGTTGTGCATTATTTTCTATAGGAAAGCAGCATCTAATACAGCAATATTGCTCATCTTTGTGTTCCTATTACACAAAGACACAACTATTACACAATGACACAACTTAAGTGTCCTTATGGAATAGCCTTCCCTGCGCAACTTCTGCTGCCAAGTGAAAGCCACTCAACTTTCTCATGCTTTTAGTTTTTGAGAGGTGAATTTGGATAGGCCGGGAGCTGCATTTCTGAAGGGCTTTAAGTTATTGTACTACTTTTAAAGTATTGTACTGTGCGTTATTGGAGGTGTTTCCCTGTTTATTTTGTAAAATGCTTTTATAGTTTCTTTTTAATTAATTCTAAAAGATATGGTTCATACATTTTATAAATGGTCTGACATAGCACCTTAACACTTGAAAGACAAAATGGCTGTAGAATAACACTGGGGAAAGAGAGTTCACTTCAATAGATACGTTTGACAAAGTCAATGGTCATCCAATAGAAACATGTTTGCATTTTTAAAAATCTGCAATAGGCAGAAAGGCTAATTGCCATGCTAAAACCGGGGCTTCTTTACTGTGGCCCTACATGAGGGGAAAAGCAACTGCCCTTGTTAAGGAAGGTGGCGTGTCTTTCGAAGTTGACTTATTCTGAGTTCCACTAGCTAGCTGGGTTTAAAGCAAGCCTGGTTATCCTTAAGGAGTTCAGGAGCTGGCTCATTTGCTTCTCCGGCACTTGAGGTTCCTATGAGCAGCAGTTTCTTTTGCAATGTGGCAAAAATGCTGTTCTGCAGGAGCGTACTTTCCAGCACCTTAGGAATATGTGACTGAAGGGCAAGCAAAGGTCATACTCGGGACACCTGCCTACGTAAGGTGACCAAATGCATTGCTTGCTTACCTCTGGTCTCAGATCAGAGCCGCGCCAGTTCAAACTGTGGCTCTCACCTGCCTTTCCTTGCCTCAGCCATGCAAAGTTCTCAGGCTGAGGTCTTGCCCAGCCTCGCTACCGAAGGTCCTTGAGACCTCGATTCCTGGGGGCCTCCCACCTTTCTGTGCACTTGCCACTGAGTCCTAGCAGAGCTTCCCCAGGCAGCTGCTCTGAGATACGGGTCTGTCATTCAAAGGTTTCAAAACAAAAACGGTTTCCAAAGGACAAAACAGGCCCATTCTCAGAAAGTCTGACTGGCCAGAGAAGAGTGGCACTGCTCTGCAACGTTCTGCTCTTTGACTCATACAGCGTTGTTTTATCATTTCAAGGCTGCAACCGTAATCCTGGTGTGTGTTGCTTTAGTGAGGCTCGGTGCTACTGTGCTAGCCGTGTTCCCTCCCTCCCTCCCTCCCTGTCTGTGGGTGCAAGTGCAGCCCGTGTCAACTGAAATCCTTAAAACTGCTATGGCTTCCCACAAGAGAACTAAGTGCAACCTTACACTGGTGCAAATTACAGCCAAAACAAGCTACATCATGGAGTAATAGTAATACAAATCATTTGCTGCTGAAACTGCTAGAAGCCAACAGCTTCCTTCTAAAGAAACATTTCTTGAGCCTTCTCTTTGTTGCTTCCTGTCCTTTTGTCCAAAGATGGGCAGCAATGGGAGGGCTCCAAGGCCTGCTGCAAGGCCGGCTTTGTTGTGCGCTTCCGAATCTTCAAGTTAACACAGTCGGGAATTCCAAATGGGCCCATACTTCCCCGGGCAACATGTGGTACAGGTGACCCAGCCAGAAAGCAAGCACCTGGCCAGCCATCTCCAAGGTGACCCCCTGCTCCTCACAAACCTACCTCCACATGAGCGTCTGATGAACGGTGGGTCGTAGGTGAAAGACGTGATTGCTGACCGCCAAGTTGTGTTCCAGCCGGAAGGGCTCTAATACCACCCCGTCTCTCACGGGGAACGTCAGGCGCAGTTCGTCATTGTGGCTGGCTGGGATGGAAGAGAGAGAGGAAGCATGAACCTTCCTGCAGCATCTGCACTGCAAGAGCAACACCTGCCTATGGTTACACAGCACAACAGAACACCGATCACTGATGGTTGGCCGGGTTGATCCCACGGCCTAATCTGGCACGTCTCTTTCCTTCTTTCGGGCACATGGCAAGATCAGGTTTCCCCCACTCCTCCTTCACTCCTCTCACCAAACCTACAAAGTTAGGCTCAAATTGGTAGGACTGGTGCTTCCTGGAATAGTCATTTCTTCATTACTTTTTAGCCCCTCGGGATTCCTTCCCCCTTGACATTTTATCTTCACAACCAGACTGAGGCTGGCTGGAGGTCACCCTGAGGTTCTCCGCAGCCATGCTGCTACACAAGCTCTCAGCTCTGCATGTCCAAGACACAGAACCTGCGTCTAGAAGGACTGGGAAGCAAGTCAGTAGCTCTGACTTCACCATGCGTGGCTGTGAGGGGATGCGGGATCAAAGGATCGTGTGGTTAAGTATGTCTCCTGGTGGCAGGGGAGTGGAGATGAGGGCTTGTAAGCCTTGCCCAAGATTTCCTGGATGACAAATATAGGAGAAAGCCTATACGTTCTCTTTGACGGTAGAAAGAAAGAGAAGCAAGCAAGTGGCTTGTCTATTTAACCTATCCAACAGCAGAAAATTACCCATTCTCCCTTTCCCGATTCTAATGTTGTGGGTAGTTTTTCTTTGCAATACACCCTGGCAAGATGATTCTACCTACTTTTACTTCAGCTAGATTGCTTCCAGGCATACACCAAGTGTCAAAGTGTTTCTCTGTCTCCCTGTTTCATGAACTTTTCTTTTCATAAGGGTTTCGGTCCCTTCATATATCAAAGGGCAACCAGTGTCTCTCTCCAGAGTGTAGCTGTCAAGCTTGTGGTTGCCAAGCACATTTCTGCGGCATGCGCTTTGCGGGCAGGCTGAGCGCAGGGTCAGGAAAGCACTCCTCACACGCCGCGCTTGCTACTTACTTGGAGGTGGCGGCAAAGTATTGATATTTGGCTTAATATCAGGTGGGAAAGGCGGTTTGACATCCTGATTAGGGGACAGGTATGGAGGAATATTGCTCCCTGGAGTCATTGGTGGCGTGGGGTTTCCTGGAACAGGCGAGTGAGGGTAATTTGCCACAGGAACGGGTCTTGAGGGCTGCAGATGTGTACGTGCAATTGGAAAAAGAAGAGAGAAAAGTGTTTATACCTGCCCTAAGCACTGAAGAACACGGATCAAAGCGCCAGAAGCACGAAGGTGGCAAGGGTTCACTTACAGCCTTGTGCAACGGGTGATTCGCCATCCTATCAGCGATTTGCACCAGCCCACCTGGGACTCAGGAAGTCTCCTCCTTTCCCTGCCTATGCGAGCATGTGTCAGGCCAGAGGTGGGGAGGAGCCATGACACATTCCCGTCCAGCCCCACAGGTTCATCCTGCTGGCCTGCCCCGTCTGTCCTTTCCTCACACCCCAGCGGCTTTCAACACCCACCACAACTTTCCACAACGGTGGGGGAATTGCCACCTTCAGGCGCCACGCGCGCCTCAAAGCCGCATCTCCCCAAGCGGCCTCCCCTTCACGTGGAGGAACGAGAGCTGGGGCGCGGCCGCTTGGCTGTGCAGTCACTCCAAGGGGCCTCCTCCACACACAGCTGCCCTCCCGCCACCTTCTGCAGAGAAGACAGCAGGAGCAGCCTCGGAAGCTCTGCTCCACCGGCTTCTGGGGAGCCGGATGGACGGGCTGTGTGTGTGGGGGAGCACAGGGAGTATGAGAGCAGCCAGGCAGCTCTTCGGTTTAGAAGCACACCGTGCCCTTGATCCCTGGATGTCCTCAGACTCTTAAAAGAGGGGGAGAAGGGTCCGGCCCACCCACTCTCAGCAGGGGGTCTGTGTCCAGTTGTCTCTGAGGTACAGTCTTCGGCTGGAAGAGGGTCCCTGCTTCAGGCAGAGCACCTGTCGCTGCAGGGGGCTGTGACACAGAGAGAGACCAGCCACTTCCTGGCAGCTGCGGCCATCGGGACAAGGGCACCGCTGGAGCAGGGCTGGGCCTCAGTGCCTCACTCTGATGCAACCCTTCCCCAGACGACATCCCCTCGCTTCTAGAACAGTGGTTGGGGAGGGGGAGCCGTCTCTGGCCACCCTGCCTCTGGTTTTATTCACGTCTACTGTTGGTCATGATGACGTCTGCATGGCTACAGGTCTGTGGGCTACTGGACCCGTTCCGCGGCCCCCACTTGCCAGCATTGGCTGGTGCAGCAGTAGCGAAGGAAAAGAAATGCTTTAAAAGGGAAAGCTGTCTTCTGCCGGGTGCTGGGGACACAGAGGGCGGGACCAGCAAAAGCAGGAATGGACTTCCACTACTGGGCAGTGTAGAAATCAAACAATTACGAAGCAAAATACTCTCCCTTTTGCTGCCACCACCTCACCCATTTCCCCTTCTTCCCCTTCTTCTGATGCCCGGCTGAGACACGGCGAGGAAAAGGGAGAAAGGCTGGCGCTTGGCCTTGCCAGACGGCGTGAAAACATTGGGTATCATTGTCCTGCATGACGTATTTGCACCCTTAACGAAGACGACTCAGTATAGAGATAACACTTAAGCGACCGCTTCTTGCGCAAACTGCCAAGAGCTCAAAATGTATTCGACAGCAAGGTGCTGCCGTCGACGGCCTTGGACTGAGATGCAGATGCGCTGGAATTTATCCGGACAGGGGACAGGGACTCGAGCGTACGGATGAAAGATGGGGATGCCTCACCTTGTAATACTGTCCCATGTTGACGGCTGGGGGAGGATATTGCCCAGTGTTTTGCTGGTTTGGCATCCTTTGTCCAGGGTAGTTGGGAGAGGTCAGGGGTCGCGGAGGATTGGGAGCAGGATACTGACCAGGCTGGGATGGAAACTGGCTATTTGGTCCATACTGCTGGTTTCCATAGTTTGGCTATTTTGTAAAAGAGGGGAAACACAAAAGAAAGGAAAGAAAGCAAAGGTTTAAAGCTGTACCTCTTGAACTCATAGCATATTCACAGGTCTGAAATAACCTTCAAGCAGAAATAGTTACAGGAACATTTTCTGACTTCAATATACTAAGGCCAAGAATATTGTGGGCTAAGTAAAACTTAAAATGACTTGTTAATTGTGAAACTGCAGTGAATCCCATCAGGAAATGGAAGTGATGTTGTGTTAACCAATAAAGATGTGTGTCTTGACATGAAATGTTAATTACAAGTGTGGGGCACAATCCAGCCAAATTAAATTATTTAAGATGCAATCACAGGCAGGTTTAGAAAGAAAAAAAAGGCCCACAGGTCCTGGCATGGCTGGCTGGACTACACTGGGAATTGTCGGTCTTTCTTCTGTTTAAACATGCCTCGGAACGCATCCTTAAATTCCCACTGATGTCCCCTGGTGAGGCCAAAAACCTCACCAAACATCTCACACTGGACTCAAAGGCACTTTACAGTCACACAAACTCTCCCTGTTATAAATAATTGCGCAAATATGAACCATCAACTTACCAGCACTTGCACATTTGACAATGTTACAACAACACCGACTTCCAGAAAAGTATGGAAAAAGCAAGCTAAACCTCATAGTGGAGCACATTCCGTGGCTCTAAACCACTCGGTATTACTCATTAGGCCAAGTTAATATTAACTTGGTTAATTATTAATTAATTTAGTTAATTAAGAATTATTAACTAAGTTGTTATCATTAGCTAACTCTGGCTAAGAGGAAATCTCAGAGGAAAAATGCTCCCAGAATTTCCTGGGGTGACCTGTGAGCCAGCCTTGCACCTCTGCCTCCGAATTCCCCACTCTGGAGGGGCCCTATTTCCCTGCTGCTCAACTTCTCCCTCTTCCAGTCTTAAGGAAATTCGGGCAGAGCCGCGTGTGGGCACCCCTGCCTTTTCCCACACCTCGGATGCCACCTTTCGAGGGCTGAGGAGGTACGGGGGCCACAGTGGGAGAGCTCCGCACACTGCCAAACGCACGCTGCTCGCACGGCTGGTGGGAAAGGGTGCAGCCACTCACCTCTCCCGGGTAGGGCCTCTTCATGCCCTGCATGGGCAAGGACTGGGGGCGCGGACCAGGGTAGGGCTGCTGCGGCATCCTCTGCCCGTGGCTGAAGGGACTCATCCCGGGGGGCCTGGGCTGGTTCATGCCCATGGGGGGCCCACTCATGCTGGAGGGCGCCATGCCTGCTCCCATGGTCGCAGGGTTCATGCTGCCCGGCATCGAGGTGGGGCCGCGCGGGCCAGGCTGGTTCATGAATTGGCTGTTGTAAGCCTGAGTTGGACCCATCTGGAAAGAGGAACAGACCTTCAACAGAAGAAAAAAAAGAATAAAATGCGACATGCATTTAATCTGGGAGGGGGGCCAACTTGACGGGAGGCGGAGATGTGTCACGTCGGCACAGACGCCTTCCTCCCCCCTTGCCCTGCCTGATGAGGGGCAGAATTCTGCGAGGGGGACTCCAGGACTTAATCCTCAGTTCATCACTTTCCCAGAGCTGCAAGGGCTGAACGCCCGCGTCTTCTGCTGCGCGACGGTTGCCTGCAATCACTTGCGAATCGTGGACCTGAGTTGTGTGTCTTAAATTATGGGTATTGTTTGACATCATAATCTTAGTAATGATTGACTGTATATTAACTTGAACATCTTTCCTCAGAAAGAAGGTTCGTACTTTGATTAACAAAGAAAACGGAAGGAAATCTTTAGTAAAAGGCAAATGATTTATATGATCTGAGAGAAATCCAAGTCTACAAAGAAAATGAGCTTCAGTCTGTCAAGATACAAGGAAATGTGGGCCCATTCTATGATGCACAGACCTTAGTCCCCACCTGAATCTCAAGTCCTACTGGATGTTAAATCTGTCTGCTTATCTATTTAAAAATGTTTTAAAGTGCACCAACATGATATCTGCAGACATTCAAGACATCATCCCTCCAAACAAAAAATTAATGCAACATTCTCCTGGCTGCAGCATTACTAAACATAAATATCCTTGTTAAAATGGAAATAAGAATGGAATTTCTCTGCGGCCGCCTCCTCCTGATTGATGCTTATGCAGCGTTTTCCGAAAAGTGCTCGCCTCCTGCCATGGCAGTCACTGGTTCTACAACACACGTGGGTGAGAAAAGGGCATGCCAAGGACAGGGCTAGGCTGTTTCTCTTACCGGTCCATATTGGTTCATTTCCTTGTTCTGGGTTTCCTGAAGGGCTGCAACGGTGGCGGTGGCAGTGGCAGTGGCGGTGGCGGCAGCAGCTGCTACTGCAGCTGCAGCGGCGGCAGCAGCTGGTTGAGTGAAATCAGCGGGTGGTCTGGTGTGGGATGGGATCCCCATTCCTGCAGGGTTACTGGGGCCTCCTGGGTAGCTATGGGAAATGAAAACAAAAGCCACTGGTGTGTGAACTTGCATTTGAGGCCACAACTGACACAAGTCTGAAAAAATGTGCAGCTTGGAAGTGAAGGACAGGTTAGCCATATGCTAATATTTGACAATGTGGCTACTCTATCAGTACAGAGTTTAGGGGATGTCCGCCACTCAAGCCCATACCTGAATGTATTCACACCGGCTATTTACTACTTTAATTCTTCACAGTTCCGTCAAAGTGCACCTTCCCCTCTCCACAGAGCCTCGTCTAGCCATTTCATACGTGTTCTTCACATTCTGGCTAAATCCTTTTTCTTATTCTTGTTTCATTTTACGGATGCACAAAGCTTCCCTGAGCAGTTTTGTGGGGATTCTTCTTACTTCTTGGTTGGTCACACAGTTCCTCAGAACCGTGCCCGCTCCAGCAACATCCACCGCCGTAGCCGATGGAGCCAAAGAGAAGGGGAAGGCTTCCGTTGCTCCTTTATGGGAATGATGGCAGCATGCTAGGATGCTCCTCAAGCTTTGCCAAATCTGGGCTGAGCTTTGGGTGGAGAATGCCAAATGAGGACATCACCCCCTCACTCATCCATCCAGAAGCATCCACGGCCTCAGCCAGGAATTAGCAAGGGGAAGGCATCTCTTTCCCCACATTATTTCCTGATATCCTGAATGTCTGCAAAAACCCAGGCCTGAGTTGTTTCTGAAGCGTGTAAATAACCATAGACATAAACGGAGAAAACCCATGCTTGCCAAGCAAATTTTGAATTGATTTAAATTCCCCGAAGAGGAGACTCCCTGCAAAGCAAGCACAGTACTCGTGTGACCAGACTGCAGATTCTGTGCACTTAATGTCTATTCTCCTATGTAAAGCAGCTGCACTTATATCTATCAATATCTTTCACATACTAGCTTAACAAAATGTTAATCACGGCTAAGCCTGTGGTTTGTTGTCACAATCTCAGTGTTAATTAGAACTTTATTTTCGGTATTTATTAGAGTTAATTGACTGACCTAAGTCATTTGCAAATCATTTCCTGCTACTGTGATTAATTTCCCTTTAAGTTTGGACAAGCTTTTTCAAAGCAACAGTAGTTGTACTGGGCACAGTTACTGTGAAGCCACAACCTTTTTCTGACACAGGAAATAAGCACTAGAAGGACAGGACTATCCATTATGCCAAGATATGGTATGCTATAATGCCCTGGCCAAATTGCAACCCTCAGTAGCGTAATAATAATCAAAGGCACTCCTTTATATTTCTAACCTGCATTCTTCACTGTTTTTCTGTGTGGTGAATGCCTTAAAGCCAAGACCACGCTGGCTGTTTCAGTATTACAAGGACAAGCAACTGTAGGGCCATGTCATTCCGCTCTAGGAGGCCAGGTTTCCTGGACTGATTGGATCAGAAGAATGGGTGTGAGCCTCAGGTCTGCAGGCTCACTGCCTCACGAAGAGAAGGTCCACGGTTGACCAAACTGGGAAAGCACTGCCTTGACTTGCATGAGAGCGCTCCATGACCTTGCGGGGTGGAACCTGCTACAAATGGAGCTTGCTCTCAAAAGGTCAAGAAGATCTGGCTTCCCAACAAATGTGGAATCTCCACAGTTTGGTGTCTCCCAGTAGTGAGAAGCTGGGAGGAGTACAGGAAGGAAAATGGTAAACCTAACACTCCTACTCCAGGACAAAGAATTAACTGAACTGGCCAAGAGGCAGCAACAGTTGCTTCTGAGCAAGGTGTGGTGAAGAGGACACCAGCTCTGCCAGCTTGAAGAACGGATCTGAGCAATTCCTCGAGAATGGGTCTGGCAGGGGCTATTTGCTGTTGCAGCTTTCACGAACCGAGGCATTGCTCTTCAGCTTAGTTGTGGCCTTCTCACAGTCATCAGCCTGGCCACTGTTGGCAGAAGGCTAGACTGGAGCAGTCTTGGGGTGGATTCACCAGGGAAGCATTTTGCAAGCAGAGAGCATGTCACAGGGATCTTGGGAAGCTGATGGTCCAAGAATAGCATGACGCGGGTCCTGTTCAGCTAAGCCACCTTTAGGTCAAAGGCATCCTCTCAGTAGTTACCCCACTGGCCTGGAATGGCAATTCTACTCCACACAGCCCAGCCCAGCCCAGCCCAGCCTTACCTTCCCCCAAATCCTCCACTCCCTGGATAGTTGGGCCGCCCATACATGCCCTGCTGGATATATGGTTGGCTGGAGCCCGCCTTGGCGGAGAACTGCTGCTGCTGGCCAGCAAACTGAGGTGAATTCATGCCTGGGTTGCTGGTTGTCATCCCCGAAGCCATAGGGTTTCCTGCTGGGTTCATAGGATTGTTGGCATTTGCCATGGGGTTTCCCAGCACCTGATTGAGGGAGAAAGAGAGAGAAAGAGAGATGATCAGATCAGCCCCAAACTCCATTTTCAGGCACACTGCCCCTTCTCAAAGGGTTCATCTGTTTGTTCATAGATTCCTTGATGTGCTGGATTAGTCTACTGATCAGATACTGGAGGTGTGTTACAATGGTGAGCCACGGACGAGACATCTGGGCAAAGCTAAGGAGGTGAACAACTCCAGCAGAAGCTGCCATTCCGTCCCAGGAGCCTCAGCTCCATGGGAGGGCATACACTGTGTGTGCAGAAGGCCATGCAGTCCATCCTGGCCAAGTCCAGTGAAAGGCTCTCTGGGGAAGGAAGAGAGCAGGAAATACCTGGCTAGATGGACCAGTGGGGCACCTAAGATGGCACATGCCACAGCCCTACTGTCCGCACTTCCTGCCTCTGGCTCCTGGCGACCCAGTGGTCTTGGAGCACGGCTGGAAACTTCCTTCCCATGCCTGTCCCGAGAACAGCAGTGGGTGCCTTCTGTCTTCAGCGATCCGCTTTCTTCTCCAATAGACTCTCTGTGGTCCATCCACGTGTTTTGCAGACCAAGGATGCGTATTCAGAACATCTCAATGGGAACCCCCAGAGCAATGGTTCCCGAGAAGAGGAGCCATGAAAGGACAGTTACCTGACTCTGGGAGGTGTTAGTCACACCCCATACTGTAGTGACCACCGACAGGGAGCCTGGGGGTTGGTTGGTGTTCTGCTGCCAGGGAACAGAGTCATAAGGGAAAGAGCCATCACTGGAAAAAAGAGAAGGGAGGGGGAGGAGACACACATGGAAGGTAAAGTCATACTTCATAATTTAACTGAGCATTTGGGCTGAGTGGGAAGAGCAGCCTCTGAATGTTTTAGTGGATTCCTTCCCCCCATCAACACACTAGCTCGGTGAACTGCCTGACAGTGATAACATTTGCAGAGTTAATAGTTTCTATTTGGTTGCAAGGAGAGCAATTGCTTTTGCATCAGCGAAGGGAAGAAATACATTTGACAGTGAAGCACAAATGCATATGACAATGATTATGGAGGTGAATGGCAATGGAATTAGCTGAAGCATGAAGAGTTCCACTTTTGTTACCCGCAGAAGTGGCAAATGGCAATAAATTCTTGGAAGTGGATTTTTAGCAACTGAAGCAACACATGAAGCAAAGTGGATGCTTGGATTCATTTGCTTTGCCAATGTCATTTATTTTTAAGCTCTTGAGCCATTGTGGCTTTAGCTGTCTTGTCCCAGTTCAATCAGGTCTAGACTTCAGCTCTGCCTGCCTGCCCTGGCTCACAGCGATCCTTTAAAGGAGCAGCAATTACTTGGTGCATTAGAATGCAGAGGGCATCCTACCGCACACTGCGTAAGCAACACACCAAGCGCAGGGTGTGTGAATCAGTGTTCCGGATGAGAGGGGCCGTGGTGCAGAGGCCAAGGGCCGCCATGAACCAGGAAGCCCTGGCATGCATTTTCTCCCTGCAGGGCATTTCCTAAGCCCTCTGTCTCTGCCTCAGGTTCGGCCACCACATGCGGCCTGGGGAAGACAACACCGACCTGCCTGACAGGTGTTGCTGTAAGTACACCTGTAACAGTAAGTACCTATGAGAGTTGTAAGTACTCATATAGGTAAAGCACTTTGAACATTCCAACAGCACTATGTAAATGCCATTATTGTTATTTCCCTGATGCAATAAAATGATGGATTTTCTGACATGTGGTAGCCAGGAATTATATTCACAGGAATAGACAGATAAGATCTAGCCTTGCTTTCTTCCTTTGTAGCTCCCTTTCATAGCTGAGGTTAGCCTGAAAGAAAGAATCTCCCTCTGGGTCTCTCTCAAAAAGGTATCTCTGTAATTTGCTGTATAAACATGCAAATCTAGTAGAGCAATCCACAAATAACAGTACCATCAACCCACATCATAAGCAGATCCTACACAAATGGACCTTTCCATCAGGATTCAATAGAGTCCTGCCCCATGGCCCTCGCCTACAGGGAGCAGGGAATCTGTGCAGGTCTCTTGCATCAGGGAGCCTGTGAGAAGCCGCCCTGTCTCCTAACCTTCCATCGGGATGCTCAGGTACGTACAGGTGGATTGGGCAAAGCAGGTGCTGGAACTGTAGTGTGAATAGATCATGTCCACAATCATTGTGCATTATAGCCATTGTGTATTAGCTGGCAAAATGGCATGTCCCACTTTTTAAAGAAAAAAATTGATGCAAGCCACTAATATAGGTATGTGAAAGGTAAATATTTGAGCATGTCAATATTTATGGATCACATAACGTTTATCTGAGGATGGATACATATGCAATGAATAAATCATATTATGAAAATCTGGTGCTGGAGCAAAGCCAATAGATTTTTATTGAAACTTGCTACATTTTGCTTGTGTGATTACTAGAGTTGGAGCATTGGAGGGTTTTCATTGCATTAGGGACGAATGCAAGACACACAGATGAGGGAAACATTCCTTGTTAACAGAGAAATTATTCTGAAACTCAGAGGGTGGAAGTTGGAAACTTTGCAGTAAAGTTTTCATTGTTCACATGAAGATCCAAACGTATCAATATTTCACAATCAAAACTGACCCGGCAGATCTTGCCTGGTGAAAATGGATGATGGACAAAAACATAAGTAAAAACAGGAATGGCAAAAAATAAACATTTTTTAATTTGCAGCCATCCCCTTTAGATTGATGTTTTGCATGAATACAGGAGGGTGGGATGCAATGGGAAAGAAACTTGATTTAAAAAGTACTTTAGGGCCTTTCTCCAAAACTACTCCTCTTAAAATACTGATTCAAGAACACCAGTGAATGAGGCTTTGGCTTTCCTTGGAAGGCTGACATTTCCATGGATAATCTTCTAACCCTAGTAGTGTGCTGGTTCAAACAGCTTTCTCTGGAATAAGCTGTTTAAATATCTCCTTTCTGTTGTTTTTAGGGGATTTTTGAAAAGAAATGAAAAAGAGAGAGAAAAATAAGTGGTGCCCATTGTTGTAGGCTGGGGCTAAAGATCATCCAAAAAGTCTGAAGAGAACCAAACTTTGGGTCTGGACATATAATTAAGTCTAGCTTGAAAATAGCTACTGGAAATACCAAGGTCTGAAAATTCTGCATTGATCTGTTTCTTATGTTTCCATGCTCCCAGGCTGAACTGCATCTAGGGAAAACCTAAATTCTTGGGCTGTCACGCTTAGTACTCCGCAGCTTTCCCCAACCTGGTGACTTTCAGAGGCGTTTGGACCACAACTCTCAGAATTCCCATCCAGCAGGGACAGTGACTGGGAATGCTGGATGTTGCAGCCCAAACATGTCTGGAAGGCACAAGGCTGGGGAAGGCTGGTATACAGCATGGAAACAGGAAATAGAGGTTGAACCTTGCTACCAACTAAATGTGCATGAAATCAAGACGCCACTTCTATAGCACAGTGCAATGATATGAAAACATGGGAGCAGAATCCCTCCATAATAAAACATGGTGGCAGAACTGGGAATCAAACAATGAAAGGAAGTGCAAGGTCAAGAGCATAGCATTCATTTGGATCCAGCTGGGATGTTACTTTCCGCCTTTGGCCAGGATCAAACAAACAGCCAGTTCACATTTGCTATCACAGTTGCTGCTTTTCTGCGGAGGGGTAATATGCAAGGGAGGAGTACCAAACGGGACGAGGGGCACTTGATCTCCTGCCTGACCCTTTCTCCATGCAACCTTCTCCAACCATTTCCCCTCCAGGTCATTCTTGGGCCCACGTTTCTGCCACAGATCTAGGACACCAGGAAAGTCACTGGAGGAGGGCCGCTGGGCAAAAGTGGTAGGGGAACACAGAAGCCCCCTTACTCTTCTCGCGATGTCTCCCCCTCAAATAACCACCTCCCAACTCTGCTTTCAGAGAAGTGCTGACCAGGCTCTGGAAATGCAACTTGGCAGCGCAATATGGCCTTCCAATATGGTGGCTCTATTTTGGTTTGGTTTTCATGATCCAGTTGTTGCACAAACTGGGCACCTTACACCTAAGGTGGGGCTTCCCAGCTTCTGAAGTCCTCCTGCACAATGCCCACATTTACTGTGGGTTGGTTTGTTCCCACCTTTACCGATTACAGAATACGCTTCCCAGAGAGGTTCGCCTGGTGCCGACGCTTTGCTTCTTTCGGCGCCAGGCAAAAGTCTTTTTGTTTTCCCATTATTTTAATGTTTCCTAGGTTTTAATGTGGGTTTATTATACTGGAAGTATTGGATGCTGTGCTCCATTTTATTTTGTGTTGCTTTTATTGTAAAACCGTCCCAAGATGCTAGTAGTTGGACGGTATATAAAAGCTTTAAATACACAGATAGATAAATAAATAATGCTGTGGCTAAAAGCACCCTCTGACACTTGAACTAACCCAGCCACCTGAAAGGCATCTGAGAACTTTCTACCCAGTTCTGAGTACAAGCACCACAACAATGTCATAACAGTAATTGTTCTCTAGCCACTCTTCCACTCTGCATCTTCTCTTGACGGAAGGCTCAGCTTTCTGTGTCATTGTTCTGTCCTCACCCGCTCCAATCCATCATTGGTGAAGAAGTGAAAACCACTTTTTGTAACTGTTCTCACCACTCAGGGCCAGCCCTACCGTTGGGGAGAAGGAAACCAGAGATTTCATGGGTCACTTCTTGCATTCATTTTTTTTTTTGGGGGGGGGGGGGCGGGTAGTTCAAAGGACAGGTGCTTGTGGGATTTTCCTTCCTCGGGTACCAAACCAACTCGGCCAGCCTTGGACATTATGCGTCCTGACTTCTGGGTGGGAGATGGGTTTGTTATTTTGCTTCAGGCAGCAAAATGCCTTGGGCCAGCAGTGAATCAGGGATTTGGCAGCTCAAAGAGGGACCTATCCTAAATCTGGTTTGTGCAGTCGCTAATCAAGGAAAGCACTACAGTGTGTTCCTAATATGTCAAGGCAGAAAAAGAACCTGGAGCCTATGAGCTACGGGTCAATCGGTCTGCAGGAACTGTCCCTCTCCACAGAGTCTTTTACAGCCTATGTCAGAGCCTGGCTCTTTAGCGCAAGCTGTAGAGACTCACGCTTTCAGCTCTGGAGGTCCCCGTTTCAACCTCTGGGGTCTGTCAAGGTGGCAGCCGTCACATATGCACCTATGAATCAGAAGGGAAAGTGTAGGTCCAGAATAAAAATCGAAAGCCCTAGCAATGCACACCCATTACCCTGCTTTGCATTTGCTATCTGGCCTTCACAACGATGCTAAGTCCTGAGGTGAAGTCACACTTGCAATTCCTCCAGTCAGTGGACACACGCACGCACGCACACACACACACACTTCCTGACTTAAGTGTTCCCTTTATTTATTGTTGCTTTCTAATATGGAACATCGCTGTCTCAGTTAATGAAAATCAAAAGATTAAAACAATCCTATCACCTGATCACAAAGCTAAGCAAATTAGTAATATTTTGGCACATCATCATGGAAACACAAGAAGTTAAGAGTTATGACAGGGCCTAAGGGTACACCGATAAGAGGGCTTGACGAGGCCACCAGAAGCTCCTTCTTCATGACATCTTCGGGTGAGCTTCCCAGCCCTTGCAGCACAGAAGATAATGTGGACTAGGGGTGGGAAAATATTCGGCATGCTGACCTCCTGCCTTCACAAGTTGCAGGCTAGATGCATGCATGCACGCACGGACGCACGCACACGGATGAAAAACCTTCAACATACGAATTTATTTATTTGTTGTTGTTGTTGAACTTCTAGTACGTTCAGAATTATGAGAAGCCCAGGAACGCTCTGTAGCACAGCCAGCTGCATAGCATCCAAAAGCTCTTCCCACATTGGGAGCGTCTCCTTCTTGAACTGCTTCTGGTGTGCTAGCCATGTAAAGAAGACTCAGAGGGCACGCCTCACACCCATGGGTCAAGTCTGGTCCTCCTGGTGCCCCAGTTTAGCCCTCTGAGGCTCCTCAGACAGCCACACCCCCTTCCCCTGACCCTTCTACGGTTGTCCAAGTCTTGCATCCCACCTCTCTATTCTAGTAAGATTTAATTACTGGCAGTGTGATCTTTAAGCCAAAAATGCTGGGTTTTCTTCCTTTTGGTATTCTGGCCCACCCCTTTGGCTTTGGCTCCTCCCATCTCTGAGAGCTCTGAAGTGGGGCACAGATTGCTCTTGCACTATTCCCTGCCTTAAGATAAGCACAAGTGATGTGTGTATTTTGGAAGGAAACAGTCTTCCTGAATGGTAAGTATCTGGGAGTACGTGGGAGCTCACATTAACATCCCTAAAATTAATCAAAGTAATTCTGGAGAAATGTAATCTCCCAGTTAACCTCTGTTTTCCCAGATCAACCATAGGAGAGTTGTATCACAGGCATTCCACAGGATAAGGCACCCTACCAGTAACCTGTAAACTGCTTCAGCTTTTGGACATCATAGTCTTAAAGTCTTCTCTCTGGACAAAATGTATATTTAATTACACACTGACTGAAGAGAAAGAACCATATTAGTCCAGTGCAGCAAAACCAAAAAGAGCCTTGAGGTACCTTGGAGATGAATAAATAGTGAGCTAATGGAGGGTGGTACAAAAATGCAATAAATAAAATAAATATAAATTTGTATTATGGCATAAGCTTTCATCATGTGCCTGATGAGGTGGATTCATGGCATCATCATTTTGATAGTTTTTAAGGTCAATTTAAGGTGCTTAAAGCCAAAAGGACCTGCTATCTGAGCCTGAAAAACTGGATGGCTAAGGGAGTTTACACTGATCCTCTCTGGACCGAAGAGCAAAGTTGCCTAAAACACTGTTCCTCTTGAACAGTACAAGAGTAATTCAGGTTTTTCATTCTATCCAGCAGCAGGTGGGAGCAGCAAGTTGCTTTGGACTCGATTGGAGACTGACTATTGATGACCCTTCTTAATAGCACTAACGAAGGCACTAACGAATTGGGACCAATCAACAAGACAAAAGTATAACAAAGATGATAATTACTGCTCTAGCTATGGCCAAATAACTCTAAATCTATTCTCTACTGCCAGAAGAAAAACAGTTCTGACACCAGCTAGTCCGTGTTGCTGTCATCCTCAACAGATACAGGGCGAAATGGGTCATTCAGATATATGAGCAATGCTACTGTCATTCCTGCTCTTTTGCCTACTAGGCTGGGTGACTTGCAAGCACAGTGGCATTTACACAGTACATAGAAAATTATTTGACATAATCATGACTCGACTGGTGGGTGGAATTACTGTTGATTACTGGCTGAAAAATGAGTGTGTAAACTATGAAATGCTGTTTTTAATTAAAACCACAATCAATTAACTTGCTCTCGAATGCCAGTTTCTTATTTGACTTCACACCTCAGTCCTCCTCTTCCAAGTGAAACATTTGCTTGCTCACAGCCTTTCCTGTTACCTTCTCTCCCATGCCACCCTTCTGACTCTCTTCTCTCTGATTTCCTTTCCCTCCATTTTATTTCTTATTTTCCCTCACTGCCAAAATTCAGAGCAGGGAGTCAGGTGTTTTTGCTTGTTTCTCTGAAACACATTGATAGTAATATGGTTCGGATTGACATGGGGGGTAAACGTGTGCTAAAAGACGTTCTCACTCCGTGCAAAGTGAGTGTCCCAAATTCACATAAATTGGTGCCTCTGCAAACCTGTGTTCCTAGGCAATAAAAAGGAAATGGTTGACAGCAGGAAGCAAACCTTGACTCTGTCCTCATGCATTTAGAAAGAACTTGGGATCCTCAACAGAATTTAAGTGGGCAAAGTGATGGTGACATCAAAAGTAGTCTAATCTCTTCAGGCCTCAAGATGGTCTATGGACCAAGAACAACTTGGTCTCCATAGACCAAGACCAATACAGTCTATGGAGACCAAGAGCAAGATAGTGCCCATCTGTCAATTCAGGTGGGCAATATCCTAAGAGTAAGGAAAAGCTGGGTGATGCAGAAGGGGTGGGGGTGGAGCAACGGTGGAAGCTGAATTCCCTCCTTGCTCAGACAGATGAGCAAACCTGACTTGGGAGATCTGCTCCAGAGTAGAGTCTCACTGCAGGTCTGCTTGCTTGCGTAAACTCTGCCTTTCCTCAAGAAGTTCAAGGTGATATATTCAGGTTTCCCAACCAAGTCTCCCAAGGGCATTGACCATCCTCAGTTCTGCTGAGCTTCAGCAAGGTTGCTTCATCATGTGCACTTAGACCATACTTTAGCTTTCCCCAGAATCTTCTCAACTGGCCAGAACTTGATGGTTGTGTACAAGCTGAATCCTTTGTTATTTTCCTGCCCGTAAGTGCTTCATCGCTCAAGCGATGGCAAAGCTTGGAGTGGGGTGGGCAAAGAGAGTGATAGTCATGCAAGAGCACGATTGCTGGGCATGATGCATGCTGAAGACAAGAGCTTGGTGAAGTCTGGAGATGTTTTATAAAAAGAGAAAGTACGGAGAAACATGGAGTCTGTGGAGGGTGTTGGGGAGAGAGTAAGGAGCAGTGGTGGCAACATGAAGGCACTGCCTCTGGCTCGTGGTTGCTTCTGGCACATGTGTCCACACACAGGTTTCTGCTGCACCTGTTTTCCTGAAAGCACGACTTTTTCTGCAGTGTGCAGAAACGATCAGTAGAGAGCATCATACCTCTCCAATTACACCCCAAATGTCAGAATCCTGAGAGGGAAAGGATTGAAATAGACTTTATCTGGAAAATGCCCTACAGTACTTTATGTTTACATTCATGCTACTTTTCAGGTGGAAGATCACTCCCAATCCCACTAGGGACTACCACGAAAAGTCACAGGCATGGTGCTAAAAGTGCAATTTCAAATACACGTCTTATGTGCAAGCCTTATACAAAAAACACAATGGCCAGGGCCACTTCCGTGGTGAATAGTGCTTTCTGCTTATTGTTTTCCTTTGGTGCCTAAGATGGCAAGGCCATCTCTAAGTGACTCAATTAAGGACTTCTGACAAAAACGGTAGCATAGAACCTTTGGCGGGGCAGTCTCTAAGCTAGGAAAGTGTTGCTGATAAAGGTCCCCAGTGGTCCAACCGCACTGATAGGCTGCAGGATAGCGATTCGGGCGCGTCTTTCTTCGCAAACAAATGAGCTTGGTCTGTGCCAAGCACAAGAGAATCCAGATCGTACCCCAGTTTACGAAATAACCCACAGAAATAACAGCTGCATCCACATGTTGCTGTACAACTTTCCAACTCGTTAACAACATGTTAAAAAAGGATTTCCTTCCATGTCCCATCATGAGAGTAGCAGTGGTTATTGTTAATGTTTCTTTATGCTGCTGCTTGTTTGTTTGTTTTTTCCTAATAAATCAACACAGATGCCCGGACTTTTGTCTGCTTTGAAATAAATTCCTTCATTCAAGAATAAACATTTCTGTTGTGTCTTGAGTTAGTTAAATTCAAGTGAGTAGCTATTAAAACAGCAGGGTGAAAATAGACATAAAGATGAGTAAGAATAAGGGCAATTTAGGAATTCTACAGGTGTATGGAAAAGAGGAAAATATGTTGGTGACATCTGGAGAGTACAAAAAACAAATATTTAAGTTGGAACCACTCCCAGACTTGTTTGTATTTTTACATTTACGTGTAATGTGCTTGATCTTCACACCACAAGTTTCTGTGGTTCTAATCTGAACAATGTACTTCGATAGCACTTTCCATTTTCCAAAGCTTTATGCTTCTTATCCTAATGGCAATTCTCTGAGGGGAGGGAAACGTGTAAGAGAGTGAATTGTTGCTCAGGTCACAAACAAGCAATGTTCCATGGCAGATATGTATGCCATGCTAAAAAAGCTAGGGATGGGACATCCCCAGGTGGTTTGTTCATTCCAGTGGAAGTGCATGTGCATGTGGGAACTAGTGCACACCCTTGCTCCCCACTGGTCTTTGCAACAACCATGGTTTGTTAACCACAGGTTGTTATGCCATTTGAAGCAGGCCTCTCTGTGTGCCTTACCTACCTCACAGGGATGTTGTGAAAAAGAAGGGGGGTGAATACCACTCTAGGATCCATGGAGAAGGCTTAGGCTAAAAATGTAGTAACACCTCCTAGCTGGGCAAGTTATTGATTTTTGGTTCCTTGTGTTTCATGTTTTATCCACTGTACAAAACAAAGCTTTCAATTTTACAGGC